TGATGCTGCAGACCTCAAACCCAGCAGAGGCTCTTTGTGGGCAGGAAGGCACCCCTGGCATTTGGGCACAGGGATGGGTGCTCATCCAGGTATCCCAGGCAGCAGCACCTTGGCAGCCAAATTCACTGATCATCACCATGGTGAATTAGGGGAGCCCCTGTCTGGGGAGCTGGGCACAGCACTGGGCTCAGTGTTTGGGGTACAGCTGGTGGCTGCAGTAGAGAGCTGGGGTCAGGAGCCCTTGCTCTCACCCAGCCTCTGTTCTGAGCTGGCTGGGCAGCTTTGGTTGAGTTTCTTAACATCTCTGTGGCTGAATTCCTTCCCTATCAAGGTGGGTGAATCTTCTGAACCTATTGGGAAACTGCTTCTGAAGCTGCCTGTCGGCTGGGAGGCTGCGCTGGGAGGAGCCGGGTGTGGGTGGCCACAGCGGACGTGCCTGTGGACAGAGAGGCGACAGGGAAGGGTGAATCCTGCGGAAGAGGGATGGACATCACCTCTTTGGGTCTTGATTTTGGCCAAGACAGTGAGTCTGTCCTGAGCCCTGGCACGAGCCCACCATATGCCAAGGCAGGGCCACTCCAGGCTATCACAGGGCAGGTTGGGTAAAGTTGCCACCTCCTGCCACCTCCAGAGGCTGCCACCACCATCAGAGACGGCTGGTGCTCTGCAGAATAACAGCTGATTAGCTCCTCCAGCTGGTTTATTGGCTTAGTGGTGACAGTCCCCAGGTGGATTTCATTTTCCCAAGAGGGTATGTGCATGTATTTGGTGTGTTCAATGCACACTGTCCCTCTCCCACTGCCCAGGGAAGCAGGATGGTGTTCCTGCAGTGCTCTTGCAGGGCTTTCCTACATGTAGCAGGCAGTGTAGGGGTGCTCAGGACTGGATGTTCAGGGATGCTCATGGTACAGGGACACTCAGGGTTGATGTGGCTGGCAGCACAGGGATGTTCATGACACTGGGATGCTCAAACATGCAGCACAAGGAGGGTCATGGAACAGAGGTACTTGCAACCAGCCGTGTAGGGATGTCATTTCCCAGGACGAGGGGATGGGATGAGAGGCTGTGACACAGGACCAGCAGAAAGCAGTGTTTTTCCAAGCATCTCCAGCAAGGAAGTGGATCTCCAGTTACGGATCTGTGGGTCGTCCTTCATAACAACAAAGCCTTGGTGGTGGAGCTCTGCTGTGGCTGCCTTGGGTGGACAAAACCGGCAGGGGCTCACAGCAAAACAAACGAACAAAACTTTCTGGAGCGTGACTCCCGTGTAAGAGCCAGGGCAGGAGTCTCCAAAGGGCAGGAATCCACGGGATATTTGGGCATTTCCTTCCACAGCCAAACCCAGGCGAGCACATATCGCTGCTTCCCAAGGAGCGCTTCGGAGGGATTGTGTCGGTCTGCAGGAGCTGCCGCTGAAGCTCAGGGGTGTCCCTGCAGGAACGAGCTCTCCATGGAGGGCAGGGGCTGACTCAGGGTGCCCGGTGTGCTGGCACAGGGGCGCTGGGCCGGGCGAGGGCACGCCTGGCTCCACGCAGCCGGCACAGGCGGCGCCAGCCGAGTGCCTCGGGGGGGTAAATACGGCTTTGTGCCGGGCCGGCTGCCAGGGCGGCGGGTGAGGTGCCCGACCCGGCCGGCCGCTCCCCGGCTGCCCCCCGCACCCCACCAGCAGCCCAGCCCAGCCTGGCATCCCCCCCATGGCAGTGAACTGAGTGAAACAGGCACAGGCGAAGGCGGCTGCTTAGGAATGCGCCGTGCGGGGCTGTGCAGATCCAAAGGCCGCAGCCAGGCCGTGCCAGGGATGAGGGTCCCGGCCCCGTGTGGTGCTGGGCGGCCGCGCTGCTTTCGCCACGGCCGGCGGCCGGCCCGACATTTGTAAGCAATTTGCCGGAGCGTTCCGGAGGTGCTTCCCGCTGCCGCTTGGCAGCCAGACGCCGCACAGAAGCTCGCTGGCTCCCTCGAGGCCTCGCTCAGGCCCGGCCCTGCGCTGCTCCCTCGTCCCGTCCCGGCAGCGCCGGGAGCGCGGGGCGGGCCGGGAGCCGGGCGGGACCCTCGCAGGAGGGGAACCCACGGCTGGAGTTAACCCTTGGGGTGCACCGAGATGGGTTTTCCTTGGAAATAAATAAATAATCCCTTCAGGTTGTTTTGTATTTCAGCGCTGAGTCTGTGTTCTGGGTTCATTTTCCCGGGATATGAGTGTGCTCCTGTGGGGAATGGGGCTCGCTGAAAGTGCCCCCACCACAGCAGTGCAAACCCAGCGGGGGTGATGATGTGGCTGGGAGGGATCTGGCCACACCATCCCAGTGCTGTGGCTGGATTAACCCTGCAGCCCTTTCCCTGCCCAGCTCTGTGGCCCCCTGGCCAAAGCTGAGCAGGCCAGTCTGGGAGGGCTGTGGGATTGGGAACAGCTTTGGCCCAGCCCCTGCTGAGCTCCAGAGCATCCGTGTGGAAAAGGATGGGTAGGCTCGGCACCAACTGGGAGAGAAAGGGCTGAAGAAATGCAGGGAAAACCTGGGAATTGGTCAAAAGGAACCCATGGATGGAATGAGAAGGGGGGAATGCAGGGAAATGTCCCATCAGCTGTTCTCCTGTCACCAGGTCCCTGGAGTTTGAGGCTGGCAGCAGGATGGCACTGGTGGAGGGGTCCCAGCTGCCTGGCTGTGCTCTGCTTCCCCTCCATCCCTCCATTCCTCTCCTTTCCTGTGCCTTTGTGCTGGGGTATCCACTTTCCACCCACACTTCACCTTCCAGCCTTGCTGCAAACCCTCCAGCTCTCCAAGCAGGGATTTACCCAGCTGCAAACCAGGGATGAACTCCTTCCTTTCCTGCCCGAGGTGGATCCAAGCATTTAGGAAGACCCCCAAAGGGAATGCTGCTCCTGGCTCTGCTATTTGTGGCCTGCTGCTTTCTCAGCCACCTGCACCATGTCCGTGTGGTCCTGCCCTGTGTCCTGACCTGACTGGGCTGTTGGAGCAGGGAACAAATCTGAGGAATGTTGCTCAGGGAGATGTGGTTGCTGACAGCTGTTTGGAAGCAGGCAGGGACACCCACCATATCCTGGGACATCTCAGGCCTTCTTAGTGGACCCCACTGGTCAGCTCAGTCCCCTCGAAGGTGGGGTTAGGGATGGGATTTTGGGGTGACCTCTCCTTCTTCAAATAGTGGGCATTGCTCAGCTCCAGGACCAGCACCTAAGGTCTGTGGAATATTTCTGCCTCTTTTGGAGATGCTGGTGCTCATTGGGCATCTCCATCCAGCCCCTCTCTTTTCCCAGCATTGCACTCCTGGTGGTCATCACTGAGGGTCTGCTCCTCCTGCCCTGAGTAAGGACTCCTCTTCCTCCTCTTCTTTCTCCTCCCCTGCCCGACCCTTTTCCAGTGGCATTTTTCAGCTGCAGATGGTAGGAGCAATCCCAGTGGTTACAGTTCTTCAGGACTCAGATCAGAAGTGGCCAATTTACAAGTGAAATGTTATTTTTTCCTGGGTGCTGAGCTGAAGGGAAGTGACTTGTCCTTGATGAAGACCCTGAATCCTGGGTTGGTAGGGCTGGGAGGGGGAAGTGGGAGCTCTGCTGAGTGATGGCTTTGGGAGCCAGTTCCTTCGGGAAGGGCTGTTGGATTGGTAGCTGAGGCTCAAAGACAAACAGTCCCTGGAAGAGGTAATTAGGGTGATCCTGTCCTGATCCCCTCAGCTGTGGTGAGGAGTCATGAGTCCTTCACCAGCAGCCACTCCAAGCCCATTTTGTGTTAATTAGGCTGTTTACAAAACAGTGTAAATTGCAGTAATGAACAGCCCGGTCCTTGGTTTCCTTTAATTATCCATTTGCATGATGAATGAGCCAGCCCCTCTTCAGCTCTTCTTTTCCAGCAGAGAGGTCACACAGACCAGTATGGCTTTGTACGGGATCTGCCGTGCAAGATGGGCAGAGACCTTGGGAGAGAGGGAGAAGAGAAGGGAATTGGGGGGGGGAAGGAAAAGAAGAGGGATCTTCAGCCCTGGAGATCTACCTGGCTGTGAGGAAGGGGGCTCCTTCCCTAAGACCCCACCACACCAGAGTGGGGTTTGAGCAGCTGTTTCACCCCAGGCTCAGAGCCTGGCACTTGGACTTTGATTTTCTGTAGGAAAAAGCACAGAAACCATTGAAAGCATTTAATCCTGCCTGGCTTGGCGATGGGGCTGCCTAGAAAGGCAGAGGAGGAACAGTGGTATTTCTTGGCCCCCCCACATACCTTCCCCTTTCTGTCCCTTTTGACTTGGCGGATGAATTCCAGAGATGTTAATCCTCTCTCAACCCCTCAGTGTAGAATAAAATGTCCTCTCTGTGTGGGAGGAAGGAATCCATTCAAATTAATGGTGGGAAGGAGCAGGGAGCTGGGGGGTGCACCGGGGGTGCATGTGAGGCTGTGCTGAGGGTGGGCTGAGCATCCTCTGCTGCCCAGTGGTCCCCAAAGGAGAAGGAGGGATGGGCAGGGGGATAGGGACATCCAAGGTGGCACAATCCTTGGGTCCCGGAAAGGGAGGGAGGGCTGGACAGGGGGATGGGGTTATCCAAGGTATCACAATCCTTGCATTCACAGCTGAAAGCTTCAGCCTCTGCCCTGGCCATAAAAATGCCAACCATGTGGTCTGTGGGCCAAGTCTCAGTGGCAGTGGTGGGCACAGGAGCAAAATGGCCCCACTCAGCAGTTTTGGGGTGTCAGTGCCTATAAAGGGGAGGGAAGCACTCGCTCTTCTGCCAAGCCAGGGTGGCAGGAGCTGCGGGGTTCGACCCATCCCGGGGGCACACATGGATGGGGCAGGAGAGATGGAGGGAGGAAAGTGCTAAGCTCAAGCTGGGTCAGCCCACTGAGGGTTCGTGGAGGTGAAGTGGAGGCAGAGGAGAGGAGAGGAGACCCCCGGGATGGGCCAGACGCTGTTCTGTGCGCTGGGAGGTGGGTGTGGGATTCATCTGGGGGCCTGCAGGCTCTGCCTCCTGCCCTGACCTTCACCTCTTGTCTCTGCAGAGCTCCTGGGATCTGCCAAGCGCCTGAACGTGAACTACCAGGATGCAGACGGGTGAGTGCTCCTCTGGAGGGTGCTGGGTGCTGCTGCCAGCCTGGGAAGGGCTCCTCTCCCCAGTATCCAGTCAGTCCTGCAGCTCATGGTATCATACAGCTTTCCAGGGGAGATGGAGAACATATCAACATCCCAGAGCCAGGGCAAGCCCTGCACAGGGAGAGCCAATATCTGCCTAGATTTAAGCTGAGGACCGTGCTCAATCCCTCCTGAAAATCCTTCATAAATCCCTTCTATGTGCCCCTCTGTAGGGATGGGGTTGAATAGGGATGGCAGCGTATCCAGCCAGTGCCCCGTGTCCCCCTGGTTGAAGCCCAGAGGAGCACCAGGCCAGCCTCAGCACCTGCACCTGCACGTGCTCGTGCTTCTGTTTAATATCCCAAAAGCAAAATCACATTGTTTTAGGGGGAGGTAGAGAAAGAAAATATGAGGTTGCCAAGTGACCACAGCATATTTGTGTAGCTCATCACTTCCAAAATCCAAGTACTTAATAAGCTGGGTACTGAGAGTTAAAGAAACCACAAAGGCCCATAAAATAAATAAGCACATTATTCTTATTGAATTAAGTCTGGCCTGTCAGTCATTAGCATTGTTTTTATGTGCTGTTGTTGTACTTAATTTCTACATGTTTTCTTTTGGAGGACTCTGTAGGAAGAGGTGTCCATGATGAGTCCTAACAGGCCAGCGGGGGGTTGGGAGCATGCAGGATGGCTCTGTCCTAAAATAATACTGTACAGATGGAGCTTAATAGAAAAAGAATTTAATAATAGAAGCAATGATCTGATTCTGATAGGGCACAGGGTTTGTGCTTGGGCAGCTCCAGGAGGGCTGATGGTGGGAACTGGGCTGCCTGAGGGACACAGGCAGGGTGTTGGGTTTTGCTGGGGCACAGGAAGAAGATGATGACTAAGTGAGACACAAGCATGGGGATGGCAGTGTGTGTCCTGGGAGAGCCATGGTGCTGGTGGTGTCCTTGGAATCACCTTGCTCAGGGAGGATGAATTGGGTGAGCTTGAGTTTGTGCACCCACCCCAGGGCAGAGTGGGACCCCACAGGGTTGGGTCGTGGGATTTTGTACCTCCCCTACATTCACACTTCGAGGTAGAGGTTTTGCTGTGGCTCAGGGACATGGTGGGTGTTCTGGAGGAAGGAGCAGCTCTCTCTGCTGGGGTTAGTGTCCCTCCTGCAGTGTTGAGACTTGCACAGGGATTTGGGTATGCTCTGGGACTGCAGATCATGAGGAGATCCATGCTGGATGAGCGGCTTCCCTGGCATTGGGTTTGGACACTACAGAGCCCATCAGAGCCCTAGGCTGGTGCTGTCAGGAGCCCCCCATGTCCCTTGGAGTGGCTCACAGGCTAATCCCCAGTGGCACAGGGACCCCTCGCTTGGCCTTGGCCCTTCACGTGACAGCTCAGGGGGAGTGCCAGGCAGACAAGCCCCTTTCACAGCCCAGCACACTGAGCTCTTTCATTACTGACGGCCTCCCACGCTCTGCCATGGGCTCCTGGCAGCCCTGCTGGCATGGGGAGGGGGCAGCTGGAAGAGGGGGCAGGAGTGGTCACGGGGCTGATGTGTTTGCCAGATGCTGTGAGCTTTGGGGCTGCCTGGCTGCTCTGTGGAGAGGGGAGATGCATCTCTCTCCATCCTGCCTGTTTCCCCCAACAGAGGTCATGGAGTGAGGGACTCCTCTCCCTGGGGTTTCCCAAGGTACACAGTGTGCCTGCATCCATCACTGAGCCCTGGAACATGGACAGCTTGGAGGGATTTATCAGTGTTTTGCTATGGGAATTCGAGGCACTGGGAGTGGGGGATTGGGGAGCACATAGTTGTGAACAGCCAGTGACAATCCCAGCCCTCATCCCATGTCTCCATGTGGTGAGGCTGTGGGGACAGCACAGTGGGGCTGAGAGCCAGGCTGAGCCCTCCCTTGTACCACAGGTTCTCAGCACTGCACCACGCAGCCCTGGGCGGCAGCCTGGACCTCATCTCACTGCTGCTGGAGGCACAGGCCACTGTGGACATCAAGGACAGCAACGGTAAGGGGTGACCCCCAGGCCCAGCCCCTGTGGCTGCCAGCTCAGCCCCCTGTGCCAGGCCAGGGGCCGTGTCCAGCCCTGCTGAGCCCCGCTGCCCACAGGGATGCGGCCCCTGCACTACGCAGCGTGGCAGGGCCGTGTGGAGCCCGTGCGGGTGCTGCTCCGCGCCGCCGCCTCTGTCAACATGGCCTCGCTGGACGGGCAGATCCCGCTGCACCTCTCGGCACAGTACGGGCACTACGAGGTGGTAAGTGAGAGCCCAGAGCAGCCCGTGTGCCCTCCCTGGGGCTCTCTGGGAACTGGGAGGGGACAAACCCCGCTGTGCCGGGTGGGAGGGAGGCTGCAGGGTGATGCTGAGCCCCTCACCACGTTGCTCCCCTGCAGTCGGAGATGCTGCTGCAGCACCAGTCCAACCCGTGCCTCATCAACAAGGCGAAGAAAACCCCGCTGGACCTGGCCTGCGAGTTCGGGCGGCTGAAGGTGGGTGCTGGGGGCTCTGCTCTGCACCAAGGGCTTCTCCAGAGGCAGCTCTGGAGCCCACTGACTCCTCCAGGAGCAAAGTGCAGGGCCTGGCCACAAGTGCTCTCCCTCCACCACCAGACTCAGAGCCTGGCAGGCAGCTCCTGCCTCCTCCCGTGGCCAGACACAGCCAGATCCTGAACCTGGGAGCTGTGAGTTTTGCCCCGACCTCACAGCAGGGCAGTGTCAGACTGGGAGTGAAGCCAGGAGCTGTTGTTCTTGGTTTTCCACAGCCTTTCCCCACCCACCCCAGCTTTGCTCATGGTTAAGCATGGATAGGGTAAGCTGGCTAATCCCAGAAAGCTCTGAGCATCCAGCCTTGCTTCAGGTCCCCAGCACAGTTCTTGGGGATAGGGCCACATCGTGCTCTGGGAGACCCTGGCCCATCCAGCACCACTGGATTGGGCTGGAGCATGGCCAGCCAGACTGTTCTGTCCCCCACTGGGAGGGGACCAGGGGGATATTTCCATTTTTGGAGTATCTATAATGTCTGCAGCTATAAACAGGGCAGTAAAAATAACTCCTCTGTGCCTCTGGGTTGTCCTGAGATACTGAGAGTTGCTCTGGGCTGGAGAGACTGAAGGTTTCTAGGGCTTGGTCTGAAAAGCCCGATTATGGGAAAACTGTTTTTGGCTGTTGTGACCTTTTACAGAACCTCATGGCAGTGTGACCATGCCAAGCACTGTCCAGCTCCAGCCTGAGCTGTGGATGGAAGGGAGTGGCAGGATGGGGAGTGGTGGGCTGGCCCCAAGGATGAGCCCCTGACTGGGAGGTTGCAGGTGGGGGTGCCTGCACCCCACTGCTTACCAGTGTCTCATGCAGGTGGCCCAGCTGCTGCTGAACAGCCATCTGTGTGTCGCTCTGCTGGAGGGACAATCCAAGGATGCCACTGACCCCAACTACACCACTCCACTGCACCTGGCAGCCAAGAATGGGCACAAGGAGATCATCAGGTAACTCCCTGCTTCATGCTGGAAAAACCCATCATGGCTTTATTCCCACTTCCACCCAAACACATCTTCCTCCTGCAAGCTTCGGCCTCTCGTCCCCAAAGCGAGTGCAAGCTGTTGTCCCTTTCCCATCGTAAAGCAGCCAAGTGCCTGGCCCTGATGTTTGTGTCCTGCTCTTCATGCCTCTCCCTTCTTCCTACCAGGCAGCTGCTGAAGGCCGGGATCGAGATCAACAAGCAGACAAAGACAGGCACAGCCCTTCACGAGGCCGCGCTCTACGGCAAAACAGAGGTTGTGCGGCTCCTGCTGGAGGTGAGCGTGCTGGGGACAGGGCTGGGGGGGAGACAGCCCTGGGGTCACCCAGCACCCTTTCCCCCTTGGTCCCTTGCCTCCCAGAGAGGGATCTGGCCTTGACCATGTCTCCTCCTGGGCAGGGTGGTGTCGATGTGAACATCAGGAACACCTACAACCAGACAGCGCTGGACATCGTGAACCAGTTCACCACCTCACATGCCAGCAAGGACATCAAGCAGCTGTTGAGAGGTGAGGTGGGGATGGCACTGAGAGAGGTTTCTTCCCCTGAGACCTGCCTGGGCTCCCAGTGCTCCTGAACAGCCTAAATCAGTGCCAGCATCCCAGTCTCCTCTCACATATGCCCCCATCCTATATGTGGGGCAGTGGCTGGGCATTGAGTTCCTTTCTGCACTATTAATGTTTTCTTCTCTCCTCTGCTTGCTTTTGCTTTCTCCTTCTGCCCTCCCTGGACTCCTCTCTTTCCTCCCTACGCTCTGGTGCCTTCTTTCTTCCTCTGTGCCTTGCCTTCAGAGGCATCAGGAATCCTGAAGGTCCGAGCTTTGAAGGATTTTTGGAACCTCCATGACCCAACTGCTCTCAACGTCCGAGCAGGAGACATCATCACGGTGAGGCTGCTCTCTGCCCTGCATCCCCCTTGCCTCACCATGGCCCTGGGTACCAGCCCCATCCATCTTGTCCCTGACAGGTCCTGGAGCAGCACCCAGATGGCCGATGGAAGGGGCACATCCACGACGCTCAGAAAGGCACCGACCGGGTCGGGTACTTCCCCCCCTCCATTGCTGAAGTCATCAACAAGCGGACAGGTCAGTGGCCATCCTGGGCATGCTGGGAACAGTCCCCTGTGTGAAACCTTCCCAGACTTCCCAGCACCTCCTGTCAGACAGGCCCTACAGCCCTGGCTAGCTAGGGGGGAAGGGAAGGACTCAGGGGGTGTCAGCATGGTTGGGATATTACTTCGAGGGTTGTGGCTCAGCTCTCCCCCCCATCCCTGCTCCTGCATGAGCTCTGACCACGTGTGTTTTGTCTTTGAATGCAGGCATGGTTGTCCCCCGTGTGGCACCCGCGCAGCAGCGCCAGGGTCCCCCTGGGGCCCTCCCAGCCCCCCCTGGGGGGCTGCAGCACCTCCCCGACGAGTGTCCACACCCGGCAGCCCCGAGTGGCCCAGCGGCCTTTGGTCACCTCACCCTAACCCGGACGGCCCCAGGCCCTGACAGCTCAGGTCAGGGCAGCACCTGCGGAGGGAGAGGGGCTGGGGACCTTCCTCTGTTCCCAGCCCTGCCTGGGCAGGGGCACAGCAGGAGACTCTCCTTCCACCTCTCCATGGGGAAGCAGCCAGATGAGAGGGAGCAGATGCACAAAAAGGGAGTTTTGGGGAGCCCTTAGAGCAGCCCATTCTCTCCCTTTATCTCAGCCCTCTGTGTGTCCCTTGCCAGCCCAGGTCACCCTGTCTGTGTTGTGCATGCTGGGAGGTGGGAGGGAACTGATGCACTGTCTGTGGCTGGAGGGATCTTGTGGGAGACCAGCGGCATCAGTGTGTTGGCACACTGATGGGTCCTTGTTGGGGACCTCTGTGCCCTGTGTCACCCCCGATCCCGGGGAGCTGCTGACGGGCTCCCTGCTTGCCCCAAGCAGCAGGAGACAGGAACAGCGTGGGCAGCGAGGGCAGCATTGGCAGCATCCGCAGCGCCGGCAGCGGCCAGAGCACCGAGGGCACCAATGGGCAGAGCACGAGCATCCTCATCGAGAATGCCAGGGTAGGCACCAACCCCTGCTCCCCTGTGCTGCTTCCCTATGCTGGCTCAGGCTGGAGATAGAACCCCATCCCTTTCCATGCCCCCTCCTAGCAAAGGAGGAGCTGCTGGAGTTGAGTATTCTACACCAAACACCTGCTTGCTGGCAGGACTCAGCAGGGAGATACTCCTGGGGGGACCCTGGTTGTTCCCCAAAGCACAGCTGGCCTTTTTGAGTGGAGCTGGAGGCTGTGGTTGGCATCACACAGCATCTCCATCATGTCCTGTGTCACCTGAGAGGATAATAAAAGGCCCCGAGCCAAATTCTGCCCACATCTCTTGCTGGGGGCCAGCCTGTTGCTGGGTGAAGCTGTGACCAGCAGCCCAGCATGGGGACCCCTGCTCTGCTTCTGGGGGTGTGATAAAGCTGGTCTCCAGAGTTGGGTCCTTCCTCCTCTTCCTCAGCCTCTGCCCTCCACTGGTGACAACCTCCAGCAACACCTTTTGGGATCAGAGCCACACAATGGGACCTCCCCAGCAGGTGAGGGCTGTCCCAACTCCATGGGGCCTTGGGGACAGCTGTTCCCGCAGCCCTAGGGGCTGTTCATTGTTCATGTGCCCCTATGACAGTTCTCCTTTCTCCTTTCTGCCAGGGCCACAGGGCCTCCAGACCCCAGGCAGCTGTCCCCCTGGAGACAGGGTCTTCTCCCACCAGTTCTTACGTCCTGAGCAGCTCCTCGAGGGGAAGGTAACTGGAACAACTGGGGAATGGTGTGCTGGGTGAGATGGCCATGTTTGGGGCACTCAGCCCAGCTCTCACTGCACCAGGGACACAGGGAGCTGGGTCTTCAGGATACAAGTGTGTCTTGCCCAGGGAGATCCTGTCATCTTGCCTGGAGCAGTCAGGTCCTTCCAGCCCCTGCAGTCACCATCATGGCTGTGTTCCATCCTCTCCCCAGGATGCAGAAGCCATTTACAACTGGCTGCGTGAGTTCCAGCTGGAGTCGTACACTGTCAACTTCCTCAACGCCGGCTACGACGTCCCCACCATCAGCCGCATGACCCCGGAGGTGAGGCAGGTCCTTCCCCACCCAGAGCTGCCAGCAGTGGGTACACACTGCCCCAAACTCTCTGAGCCACAGCTGAGCATGGCCCCACTCTGCTCCCCTAGGATCTGACAGCTATTGGCGTGACCAAACCAGGCCACAGGAAAAAGATCTCCACAGAAATCGGGCAGCTCAGCATCGCTGAGTGGCTGCCCAACTACATCCCGGTGAGTCCCTGGCACTGAGGCTTTAGTCACCCCCTTTCTTCAGGTCTTTTCTCAGAGCTCTCTGACCCCAGGATAGACACTTACAGGGATGTGTAAGTAAATAGCTTTGACTGTTAAAGCAGTCAGAGACACCCTAAAAACACTGTCAACTGGGCAGGGAATGGATGCTGAAGGTGCTGCCCATTCCTCGATGCTCATGGCAGTGGCTCCATGCTCTTTCCAGGCTGACCTGATGGACTGGCTCAGTGCCATTGGGTTGCCCCAGTACCACAAAAAGCTGGTGAACAATGGCTACGATTCCATCACCATCGTGACAGACCTGACCTGGGAGGATCTGCAAGAGATTGGCATCAACAAGCTGGGTGAGTCTCTCCTGCCACGCTGGGGTGGCCCAGGGCAGCCAAGTTTCCCACCCAGGTTCCCACGCCCCATTCTCCCTCAGGCTGGGAGGTGCAGGCATGTCTTGAGCACCCAGAAAGGGCAGTTCCTGGCTGTCCCTAAGAACTCTCCTTGGCCAGCTGGAGCTGGGCCTAGCTAGGTAGATGCCAGCAGTAGTTTGTCTCCTCCCATAGGCAGGGTTTAGATAACCCCGAGGCCTTTGCCTCAGTGTGTGACATAACTACTACTTTTCTTGGCCTGGAAACAGGCCTTGCAGGCTGGAGCTGACCCAATGTCCCTTTCCTTCCTGCAGGCCACCAGAAGAAGATCATGTTGGCTGTCAAGAAGCTCAGAGACCTCCGCAAAAGCCTCAACCAAGCAGAAGCAACTCTGGCTAGACGCAAAGTCCCCGGTTCCCTGGACATTGTCACCATTGAGTCACTGGAGAATGGCGAGTGCCAGTCCCCACACACGCCCAAAATGACAACCTTCCAGGACAGCGAGCTCAGCTATGAGCTCCAGACGGCCATGTCCAACAGCTGCCACGACACACTCGGCATCAAGAGCAGCCAGGGAATGTCACGGAGCCAGGAGAGCATTGGGGTGCGGTCGCGGGGCTCAGGGCACTCACAGGACAATGTGCTGTCCCGACGCCTCTCCAGCCCCTCGCAGGAGAGCCTGGGCAGCGGCGAGAGCAGCAGCAGCAGTGGGCAGTCCTGTGCGCCCCCCCGCAGCAAGGAGAGCCCGGCCAGCCTGCCTGGCTGGCCCAGCCCCGAGCCCTATGGGAAGCTCGTGTCCCCCGAGGGGCTGAATGGCTTTGCCAATGGCAGTGGGGGCAGCCCTCTCAAGGAGAGGAACCTGCCTGAAGGCACGGATCAGTACACACGGCCTGTGGCTCAGAAAGGAGCCGGGACTCCAGCAGTCACTCCCTGTACTCCTCCCCAGACTCCCAGCAAGGGGACAGCCCCCTACGTCTTCATGTACCCACACGTCTCCCTGAAATCCCCGACAGCCCCGTGTGTCCTGGGAGCGGAGCAGCCCAAGGCCCTGGCACACCCTTACCCGTCCATCTCCCCTGGACAGAAGAGCAGCCTGCAGACATCAGCCCAAAAAGGCTTCTCCTACCTGCACAGCCAGTGTGGCCCCACGGAGCCACCCACCACAGCCCCCACGGCCGGGGAGCAGCACAACGGGGGCGAAGGCTTGAAACACAAGAAGCGCTCGCACAGCCTGAACCGCTACGCGCTGTCGGATGGGGAGCACGAGGAGGAGGAGGGGGCCCCCAGCAGCACCCTGGGCTCCTATGCCACGCTGACACGGCGGCCGGGCCGTAGCCAGATGCCACGGGCCTGTCTGCAGGCGGATGCCAAGGTGACCCGCAGCCAGTCCTTCGCCATCCGGGCCAAGCGCAAGGGCCCTCCCCCGCCGCCTCCCAAGCGCCTCAGCTCCGTGTCCAGTGCCCTCGCTGCCGAGGCAGACAGTGAGCAGCCCCCCAGCCCTGAGCGACAGCCCGCAGCCACTCAGGACGTGGTTGACACAGGTGTCACCCCCAGTGATGCTGGCCGTGGCAGGACAGTGAAGAGCCTGGCGGCTGCGCTGGAGGGAACACCAGGTGTGAGTCCGTCCAAGCCCCTCCTGGCCCCAAAACCGCTGCACCTGACTCAGGACTGTCTCCCCCGGGCAGATGAGGGGTCCCACAGTGGCAGTGATGCCAGCAGTGTCACACTTTCCGATGGCAGCAGGGACCCCTTTGAGAGCAGCAAGCCACGGAGACGGACAGTGAGTGAGCCCAGCGCTCCTATGACGGAGGTGGCTGCACAGCCTGAGCAGGAGGATGCCTGCTCAGACACAGAGGAGGAGGCCAAGCCAGGGGTCTCCTCTTCGTCCTCCCAGAACAGCTCCAGTGAGTGCATCCCCTTTGCAGAAGAAGGCAATTTAACCATCAAACAGCGGCCAAAGCCCAGCGGCCATTCCAAGGCCGACGCAGCCGTGCCAGACACGGAGCCTGGTTCCCAGCCGGCAGAGCCCCAGGGCTCCTCTGGGAAGGAGCCAGCAGCCCCTGCTGTGACCAAGGAGCCGCCTGTGCTGGAGTTCAACCTCACCGAGTCGGACACGGTGAAGCGCCGGCCGCGCTTCAGGGAGCGGGAGCCGCTGCAGGCGGTGCTGAAGGCGTTCAGCATGGCGGGGCAGGCGGAGGCCGCGGGCACCCCCACAGCCCAGTACGCCCAGGCCCAAGCCGTGAGCATCGCGGGCCCCCCCGCCCCAGCACTGGCACCACGGCCCACGCTGGCTGGGGATGCCTTTGATGATGACAGCGTGGAGTTCAGGATTGCTGAGATAGAGAAAAGTATCTTGTCGCTGGAGAAAGGGATGAAGAAGGCCCCAAGCCCCACCAAAGCCCCCAGCCCCACAGAGCTGGTAGGCACGGCTGTGGTGAGGACACCCACTCCAGGTATGGGGGTTTGTGGAGCTGTCTCCAAAGTGGTGGTGGGGCTCCCTCCCATGTTGGTGTGGGAGGTGAGGAACAGCTGTGCCACCACCTCCCATGAGTCCCCTCCCTTTGCAGATGTCCCTGCCAAGCACACCTCTGTGGCATCCACCAAGCTCGTCTTCTCTGGACCCAAGACCATCTACCAGCAGGTCCTGCAGCCCTCCCGCCACACTGTTGCTCCCTGGGCAGCCACCGAGGCAGTGCCAGATGTGATTGGGTCCCTGCCCGGCCCCAGCTCGCTGACACTGGAAACGGGCAGCAAGATCTCAGCAAAGCCTTTGGCAGCTGCCCCGGGGGCCACCCTGGCCCAGCAGCGGCAGGAGCAGACCAGCTCCAGCCTGGCTGCCACGCTGCAGGCAGCCGAGAAGATTGCAGTGGAGGAGGCAGAGAGGTGAGGAAAATGCTGGGACTGGGCCCCTCGAGGTGGGGATGGGAAGGTCCCAGGGAGGGCAGGAGAAGGGCTGTGTATGGGCACATCATGCCTGCACCACACGCGTCACACGTGCTCCAGCCCAGCTCTATGCTGAGCTCCTGCTGCTGGGTAAGGTCCAGCCTGGCCAAACCTTCCCCATCAGCACCTGCAGCCTTTGAGTAGTGCTTTGACTCTCTCCGTTTCCTCCCCAGCCACCCTGGGACCATGCACTCAGCCAAGAACATCTTGGAAGACATCAGCAACATGTTTGACGACCTGGCTGACCAGCTGGATGCAATGCTGGACTGAGGCTTGCTCCCTCCTTCCCCTCCCGCCTCTGGCTGCTCCATCAGTGCCCCTGGTGATGGGGGAAGAGCGGATCTGGCACCAGCGGTGCCTGCAGGTCTCTGCAGCCGCCTCCCTCCCCACACTTTGCACTATGGCTGGGAACAAAGCTGCTCTCCTTGCCCACCCCTGGCTCTGTGTCAGATGTGACAGTGTGGCCTTGGGCCGGTTTCCGAGGGGGTCAGGCATTTCCCACCAGACTGGCAGCAGGAGGAGAGCCCAGAGGGGCTGCACACGCAGTCCTGGAGGCCATGGAGAAGCCCTTGCTCCCTTGCACAGAGCTGAGGAGCCTCCACAAGGGACCTTTCTCTTTCCCCACTGCATTGTCGAGTCCTGCCTCTTATTATTTATCCCCTGCCAACAATGTGTCAAAGGAGAGACCTCCCCGGGCAGCCGCCACCGAGCTGGCGATTCACTGTGCAGCCGCAGCCCCGGCCAGGCCTGACAGCAGCTAAAAGAAGACGGGGCTTGTCGCACTTTGGCAGCTTGCGGAGCGAGAAGGAACCTTTCTGCTTTATTTGCCGCTTTTCCAAACGCGTCAGCGTCGGGCAGCGTGAAATCCAAGTGGATGGAAATCCCTGCAGCAGGACCCACAGACCCCCGAGATGGGGCTGGCACGGCCTGCAGAGCAGTGGATGCTCTGCCACGGCCCTGCCGGACACGGGAGCCTTCCTGCCCCTTCCCAGAGTGCTGAGGATGGTGATGGCAGTGGCAAAAACCCGGGAATTTGGGCCAGTCTGTCTGGATCATGCTGCTCAATGGAGTTTGCCCTCTGCCCACACAAACCCCCACCCTGGTCTTCCCGGAGTGCAGTAGCATGATTAATGCTTTTAAATTTTTTTTTCTCCCCTCCCTTATCCCTTTTTTTGGGAGAAAACAGTCCCTTTTCGCAGTGCCCCTCCCTGCGGGGATCTGCTGGCACAAACCCCACGGTGAGCATTGTTCAACAGTAGCAGCGTTTGGGACGTGATCCTTCCTCGAGGCTCAGCAGCCCGGCGGGGGAGCTGACCCCAGATGCACCGGGGAATTCTGCTCAGGAGCAGCTCCTGCGTGCTGGACGTGGCCACAGCCCCTGGCTGCAGTGAGAGCTCTCAGCATCCAGGCAGGAGGAGCGGCTGCATCGCTCCCAGACAGATTTCTCTCGCAGGATCTGCTCACTAGTGCATGGCTAAATATGTCCAAGAGCCCGGAACTTGGCTCGTGTTCGGCATGCCAAGCAAATGAAAGCATCGGAGCACCAGAAGGGAACCAAAGATTGTGCTGAAGTGCCATTTGCTACAAAAATTACAAAGGGAAAGAAAATTCCACTTACTTCCCTTTAAAAATAAAACTAAACAAGAAAAAATCATCAATGCAAAACCAAACTGGAGGGAGAAGGTGGCTGAGAAGGCAGTTGCTTCCCAATCCTTTGGGAGTCTGCAGCTGGGTTGGACTGATTGCAGCCCCCTGTGCTGTTGCATAGGAAGGGGAGCAAAGCCCACCTGAACATTCCTGAAAGTCTCTGCTCCTGAGGGCAGCTATGCCGTGGGCTGGGCAGGCAAGAGGTGCCAGCCTGGTTTCTGGGCTGAAAAGCAAAAACAAAAAGCCCTGAAAAAAAACTAAAATCCCATCATTGTCCTGGACTTGAGGTCAGTGTGAGGCGGGTAAGGACACTTCTTCCCTAGCTCTGATTTCTGTCCCACACTGAGTGTATCCACTACCTGTGTCCGAGTGCCACATCATGGACTTGATGTTTTCAAATAGCTACAACCAGTGGCACTTTTAAAAGGTTTCTGTGAACCTCTTTATAAACTGATTTTTACTCTCATGAGTCAACCTGGGACAAGCCCAGGTTTTTTTTTTTTTGTTTTGTTTTTGTATATTGATAAACTGTAAATGTTTTGGTTTTTTTTTAAAGGCCAATGTATATATTTAAAATGTGATTAATTCTATATATTTACTAACCAGAACTGCAAGTCTTGGGTCAGGGATAAGAGGACACTGGGGTGGAGCTGCCACTGTCTGAGCCACCTGAGGGCAGCAGAACGCTGCTCTCATTGTCAATAAGGGAACTAAACATTTGATTTTGCAGAAGAATGCCTATTTTTTGAGCTCTAGATCTCTATTTTGAAGCTACTGTATGGTGTGTAAGTTATGTACACTGCAACAGGGACTAACTGACCCCAGCTGCACCTGCTCCGTGCAGCGAGACAGTGAGGGGAAAAAATAGCCCGTGTAATCACCAGACTGACAACAGATTTTAAACCATCTGCTCTGTTTGTGTTAATCATGTGTTTTGTTTTCCACTAACATCCATTAAGACTAAATTCTATTAAACAGTGGGGCATATTTTACCCTTTTGATAGTTTTGCCTAGTTGTGTCCTTTGTGTCAAATGCCATAAGCTTGTTTCCTGCTGCTTGAAGTCCATCGAGGATCAGCTTTATCCTGTCCCTTGTGCTCCAGGCTTCCTCAGATAATCTCCCCTGGTGAATCCCAGTCACCTCCAGTGAGGTTAATGCTCAGTGTGGGTCTCACCACCACAGCAGTAATGTGGTGACAGTGCTGGTGTCCCAGTGCCCAACCCTGCCCATGTGGCACCTTCACTATCCCCATGTGCCAGGCAGAGCCTTCCTCCCTCCTCCTGCCTGTGAGTGTGGCCACTGCCACCCCAGTGCAGCCCAGGCCTCCTTCTCCCAGCACTGCTTATCCCCAGTGCCTCTCCCAGCTCACCCCAACCTTTCACCCATGCAGAGGGATTCAATCTGTGCTGCCAGCCTGGACTGAAGCAGTGCCCAGGATCCAGGAAATCACCAGGTAACCAAACTTACTCTGTAGGAAGAGGCTTTTAGAGATGGACAGATTTACCCAAAGCTGAGCAGAAACTGGAAAAAAGGCCAGAACTGGATCCCAGGAGCATCAAGCTCTCAGGCTCTGTCCCTACAACAGGAAAATCACACTCTGTGACCCCAGCAGCCACAGATATTTTTACTTTCTTCCTTTGCTGGGTGCAAACTCGTTCCCAATTCTTGGGTGTGTTAGCCAGGACAATCATTTATTGCCATACTGATACTGGATGCTTGTGGGTCTGGGTTTGTTTCTTTTTTTTTTCTTTTTTATACAATTTACAAGTTTTAATACAAATGAAATATTTTTACATACATCCCAAAAAATTTAATATAAAATATACAGCATTTAAAAACATCTTGATGTAGGAAATTTCCTTCTGAAGCCATGCACTCTGACCCTTAAGACACTTCAGTGGCTGAGGGAAGGGTGACACTGGCAAGACCATGCTAAAGGCTCCATTCATACACTTTAGCTCCCTCCAAATCTAGCTGGGGAAGGAGGATGCAGGAAAATAAACATCTGTGATCACTCAGAGGAGGAAACCTTGAAGGTGCCTCCTCCAGAGGAAGGTGTGGCCAGCAGGAAGCCCTGGACTCTGCTGCCTTTTAACACCTACAACAGTTCATGGCACGGGGCAAGAGCTGAGGTCTGGGTGAGGGGACAGCAGTGAGCAGCTCTGTGCTGCTCTGACCCCAGCTCAGCTTGGCCACAGGGGAGATCATATCCCACTTGTGATCCAACCCTGGCATCAGGAAGGAAAGCTGATTTCTCAGGGGCCAGGTGTCACAGATCTGGAACTGGCATTTACTAAACTGAGGCTGAGAGAGGTGGAGCTTGTTCTCTCTGAGCCCTGCAGGTGCCAGGGGAGTGAGGGGACAGTCGAGCCTGGCTGGCAAAGGTGGGCAGACACTGCTGTGGTGCAGGGGAGAGCCCTGTGCTTCCCCAGGGAGCTGCTGGCTCCCTCTCCCTGCAATCCTGCCAGCATGGCATCTCCACATCTGCCCTCTTGCTGCAGGAACTGGGTCCAGGGCTTGGAACACTCCCTGCTGCCCCCCTCCAGCAGCCTCAGTGTGTCCCCAGAGTCCAGGGGTTGGCTGTACCCAGCTCTGCTCCTCTACCAGCCCCTCTGCAGGGTGAGGGTATTGCTTAGAGACACTCAGCTGTGTCCATGCTCTCTGGTAATGCTGAAAAGTGAGGAAGACAAGGTGGAGCAACAGGGCAGAGCTTGGGGGTTCCAGAAAGCTCCCTGCCTGCCCAGGAGAGAGCAGCTGCCACTTGTTAATCTCGGGTACCAAAGAAGTAACAGCCAAATATTGTAGTGTTAATGCTGGGACCAAAACCAGGGCCAGGATTTACCAGCTTTAGTCAGTGTTTAGAACTACAGTCAACATCTCCATGAGCTGCAAATATTCTGGTAGCCAAGCCTGTGTGCTCCTCTGTGGCCCTTGGCTGTCAGCCCACAACAGGACCAGTGCTCCCAGTACAGATGGGGCCTGGTCAGAGTTCGGGAGCTTGAGTGCTGCACTGGGGCAGATCATGGTTTGCTGCAGCCCTCAGGGGAGGGTCCCCCCAGGCAAATGATGAAGGGACCTCCAGAAAAACACTGAGCAGATGTTGCCCAGGGAGGTTGTGGCTGCCTCATCCCTGGAATTGTTAAAGGTCAGGTTGGACAGGGCTTGGAGCACCCTGGGGTAGAGGAAGGTGTCCCTGCCCATGGCAGGGGGTGGAACAAGATAAGCTTTAAGGCCCCTTCCAACCCAAACCATTCTGTGGTTGTGTGTGAAGGCATTAACACAGAGGGGAGACACTTCCCAGCACTATCACAGACAGACATGATTGAGCAGGGTTCCCTATGCCTTGGGGAGCAAGAACTGGATGCAGCACAATCCTGGGATTGGGAAAGGAGCCATTCACCAGCTCTGTATTAGTCACAACTGCAACTTGCAGATATCCTGCCTGGAAAGACATCCCTTCCTCTAGGGTGGGATAGTCAGGGCTCAGGCTTTATCTCTGTGGCTTTCTCAAGCAGGCCTATTACTGAAGCAGAACAGCAGTTCAGATCACAAACAGGAGAACAGCTATAAAACCTCTCTGGGGGTTGTTAAAGAAGACAAAAGCTGGTTCAACAGGGCTGCAGGAAGCTGAACCATGCTGGCTCCCTGCAAGCAGGCAGAGCTGCCCTCCCTCTGCACCAGACCAGAGGATCACAGGCAGCTTTTCCCAAAGCCCTGTCACATCCCTCTTCTGACACAGCCAGAACACAGCTGTGACAACACCACTGGAAGGCAGGGCTGGCCCACCCTGGCTCTCCAGAGACCCTTCCCACTGTCCCCTTGGGAATGTGAGCTGCCAGCACTGTTGGGACTGCAAGAGGGATGGCTCCTTTGCCTTGGGACACAGGGCAGGGAGGCAGGGAGGGCATGCACAGGCACACACACACACACAGAGCAGGCAGAGATGGAAAACCAAAATGGGTTTCAACAGAGATCTCCTGCTTCAGCAGCCCTGCTGGCCCCAGACTCTCCTGCCAGGCCCAGGAAACCCATCTGCTCACAAAGAGGAAAGGAGCCACTTCATTTTAGCATTACCATGATACCAACAAATACCTCTTGTAATAAATAAATAAAGGAAGAGCAGCCTGAACAGGCACCAGAGCTTGCAGGTTCCTGTGAGGGTACCTGGCAGGCTGGGAAGGGACTGCATACCTGTGGGGGGATCCCTGCCTGGGGCCCTGGGAAGGTGCAGGTGTAGTTTTGCCAGGAGGCTGTCTGGTTTGCATGTGTGATGGAAAACTCCCTGGGCCTTTGGTGCAGCCACTCTCCCAGTGGCTGTTTGGCCCTGGCTCCAGGGAACTTGAGTTGGGTGCTTTTAAAATGGTGAATTCATCCCCAGCTTGGTTTCAAACTGCAACTTCTGCCTCTTTTGGTAACGAACACGGACCCTGGAGAAGGAAGAAGACAGTCAGTAGGCAGAGAGGTGAAAGGTAAGACTGCTCCACTGCCACTCCTGAGCTGCTAGCCCCAAGAAGCAGGGAATCCCCTGGCCTGAGCCCCATGGTAGTCTGGGAGGGAAATCAAATCCAGAGAGCAGCCCATGGTCTCAGTCTTACCCCATCCAGCTGAATCCCATCTCCAGGGACACCAGACACAGCACAGAAAGGTCCAGAAACCCTTCACAGGAACTGAGATGGTGTCTCTATCCTCATTAGGGTTCCCTGTAATCCCCGCCTTTCCTCCCCAGCCCATTTCCTGAATCAATGTTCATTAGTGTTGACTCCCAGCTCTGGCTGCTCCCTGTGCTGGGAAGAACAGCCAGTCACTTTGCCTGCTACTCATTCTTGGCTTCAGCCACTTCCCGTGAAAACGAGTCCCACAGTCCAGGCTCTGTGTGAAGGCACATTTCCTCTGCTGTGATTCAATGCCTCTCTGTCCTCATGGGACAAGATGGAGAGAACAGCCCTCCCCAGTTCCATGCTGGTGTTGCACAGACCTTGGCTGTCCCCCTGCCTTTGGTTTGAGATAAGGAAATTTTGTTCTCCCTTCCTGCTCCCAATCACTGCCACTGCCCTCCTCTGACCCTCCTTCCTCCCCTGCACTTCCTCCCTGGGAGGTGGAACGTGAGCCTGCACACAATAGCCAGGTGATTTACACAATGCAATCAGCTTTTCCTTTTTGTTCCCCACCCTGTTCCCTGGGCATCATTACTTTTTGCAGCTCAAGGCCAGGCTGGAGGAAGGCTTCAGCCCTTTCTCCCCATCCTCCCTACAACCCCCCTACCTGATTTCATGCAGCTTGACAATCTCATTGATGATAACCACAAGGACCAAGGAAAGAAAACCCAGGAGCCATGAGACTGGAGAGATGGAGACGTGGTTAAAGGTCAAAGAAGAGTTGAGGTTTTCCCAGAGTTTCAGGTCCAGCACAGTCTGTGCCACTTGCCCCAGCACTCTAAGATGAAAAACAGACACAGCAAATGTCAGCAGACCTGACAAGCTTCCCAAGATCTGCAGATGAATCTGTTCAGGCACAGATGAAATGCTCACAACAGTCACCAGTTCAGCAGTGGAGATCAATTGCCAGGTACTTGATTCTCCTCAGTACCAGCAAACTGGAGTGGGCCTGCTCCAGCAGATCTCCTTGCTCCAGCACCCTGGAACACCTGCCCAGGCCGGGGGTACTCACACAACAGCCACAGTGAGCGTCCACCAGCGGTTGGAGAGGGGGCTCTTCTTCCACAGGGGCTTGGTGCGATGGACGTGGGTGATGGATATGAACACTGCAGGGAGAAGGGGATTATTCAGCACCACACACAGATACAGCACTTCACAAGGTACAGCAACACCTGTTACTCCTAAGGGATATGAGCTTCATGTCCCTGGAACCAGCCTACCACTCAGGGGTCTTTCAGATCAGGCTGCTCACAGCAATTCCAAGTCCCTGGAATGCAGGTGGGGGCAGTGCAGTGGTTGCACTGCAGTTATTCACTCTGAGTTGAATAAACTGGGAGCTGAAAGAGAGCAGGCAAAGGCCCAGGTCTGGGGAATGGGACAGGGGTGGGTGTGCCCTTGTTCCAGGGCTGCAATAGAGGAAAGCTCCAGCCCAGAGAGAGATTTAGGCAGAGACCCAGAGCTGTCTGTACAGGACCCAGCATTTGCTCAGCTTTCACTTGGGCTCTTCCAAACAGCTGCCAGGCAAAGCACCCCTGCCCTGTCTCAGGGGTGTGAGGGACATAAAAGCACTGCAACTCACTCTCTCCAAAGCTGGAGATCAAATCAGGAAGCATTTCTGTTGGACTGGACATCTGCACATCTCAACACACAGTGCTCTGCCCAGCACCATGGGACATGTGGGACAGGGAGCTGAGATCCTTCAGTGCTGTCAGGGAGCAGCTGGACCTGCTCTGCCAGGCAATGGGTGCAGGTGATGAGGATCAGCTAGGAGCTGGCTCCACACCCCCCCGGAGGGTTTAAAAAGGCTTCCAGCTCTCAGTCACAGCTGCACCAGTGCCCTTTGTAGGAAGGCAGTGGGGTCTTCGCAGAATAGCAGCAGGAATAGAAACACTTTTGAAGCGGGGAATACTTTTGGAGAGCTACAGGTGCTGCTACTAACTTTCAAGAAGGCAAAAGGGATTTGGCTCTTCTGGTGAGACTGGAGAGAACCAGCACTTCACCAGGCTGGTATGAAGTAGAATCAGTTCTGAGGGTGCTGTCTTTAATCTACCAGGGTAATGTTTAGTGAGACAAGGGGATTTATGCCTGTGCTATGAGGCCACTGCAGTGTCTGCTTCTATCAGGGAGTTTGTGCTCTGGCATAGGGAGCAAAGAAAGAGACAGAGGATGTAAGGTTTTCCTCTAGAGCAGGGAATGGGGTTCTGGGAACAGGGACTTACCTGTGTGTAAAACAATCAGGCCAGCTGTGAGCTTCTGGGCTACCAGGAGAGCATTGGAGAATGTCCCAAACCAGTCAGGAGCACCATAAGCATTGCTAGTGAATGAGAGGACACAGGAAAGTCAATAGTGGACACTTAACTGTCTGACCTGCTCCCACCACAGCCACGTCCCCCTTTAACAGCTGAGGGATCAGTGTGTGAGCTCAGGCTGTGCTGGTACCAGGAGGTGACAGTGGGCAGTGATGCAGCTGTCCAGGCTACAGCCCTGGTGGGTCATGGAAGAGGCTGAAGCTTGTCAGAGGATTGGAATCAGTCTTCCTTGGCAAGGGCAGGAGCAGTAGGGATGTGTGTGGCCAGTTCCTCACCTGTGCAGCATGATGGAGGAGCAGGCTGTGAGGTTGAGGCTGGTGGTGTTCACCCCTTTGCAGGACTCATGCAGGGTGAACCCGAAGCAGATGAGGCAGGAGCAGATGGTCAGGCTGAATTTCAGCAGGAAGCAGAGCAGGAAGTAGTGCTGAGTCTGTGAATAAGGGAAAGCAAGGAGGATGACATGGGCATGTCATTAGTATACAACCTCCTCCCCATGGACCATCAGAGAATCAGTGGCTGCAAAAGACAAGCTGTAGTACAGATGAGCTGCTGCACTGAGGATCTGCCCTCTGGGCATGCTGGAATAGGGGATTCCCTCCCTGGCTCATGCCATGGATCAATTTACTGAGTGAGCCAGGAAGGCACAGGGCCTCAGTTATACATCAACACTGGGACAAAACTGAAGAGAAAAATGTGTGGATAATTTAAATCTGAGGAGCGACCTACCTTCTTGGGAATGGAAGTCAAGTTTTTTCCTGTTGCCATGGTCATGATGGAACTGTGGGGAGGCTTGCCCAGGAGTGAGATACTGGAGAAAGGTAAGTGAAGTGTCTCAGTAATGTGTTCAGGCACCAGAGCTATTGAGCTTTTATTTAACATTTGAACCCAAATAACCTGCTCAGAATGCTTCAAGCATTGACACTTGTCTTTACATATGCCATAAAAGGTGTTATTCATTGCAGGTACAGACAGAGAGAGAGAAGTGACCTCCAGATGTATGAGGGAGAAAAAACCACCTGTGGTACCTTGGCCTCCACCTGACAGCCCAGCTTTCCATCACACAAGGCAGGGGTTAACACAGAAACACACCAATGCTCCTGTCACTGTTTGAAGCACCTTGTCAAAGCAGGTGCTTGGAATAATCCTTGCAGCCTTCTTAGCCTGCTGTAGGTGACATCAGCTTGCTTTTAGCATGGACACAGTGAGGCTGAGGGGGTGGGCTGTGCATCCTGGGGCGGGATAGGAGGAGATCCACCCTGACAGACTCACCTGAGCAGTGGATAGCAGAAACAGGAGAGCCACACGATGTCTGTGGTACTGAGGATGGGGGGCAGCTGCACCAGGCAGGAGAGGAACTGGACAGAAACAACCCAGAGTGAAGAACATGAACAGTGCTAGGACAGACTTGTTCCCCAAAATGCTGCTGTCTTCCCTCAAACACTGGCATGAGCTGGTAACTGGGCTGCCACTGCACAGCCCCTCCATATGTTTCTGTGGCAGGAGCTGCAGGGGGTGCTTTTCTCCAGGAAAAAAGGGTTTGAAAGTAAATGTATGAGGATCAGGGAGAAGGGGCAGCTCAGGAAGTCTCCATCTGTAACTTCCCCACACACACTGTGTAAACCTGACTGAAGGCCACACTCCTCTCTTGAGGCTGCCCCACTGCAGCCACCCATACCCATGTGAGCCCTCCTGTCCTCTGAGCTAAACCCTGTCCCCAGGCAGGCCAGGACTCACCTGAATGACAACCAAGGTCAGCTGGCACTGCAGCAGGAAGAGGAAACACTTGCGGATCCCATAGGTTGCATGCCTGGCCTGGAAGGAAGCACAAACCCTGAGAGCCCTGCTGGGAGCAGCTGCCAGCCCAGGGCAGTTAGCAGCACACAGGGACAGAACATGGGGCCTGCAGGGGAAGTGGGAGGGGAGAGGATCTGGACACAGTGAAAGCAAAAAGGGAAGGTCTCTTGCCTACATGGAAAGGTTCTAAAGTAAAGGCAGGATTTAGCCAAGTTTGTTTAAACTCCTGGCTTTTCTGGGGTTATGCTTCTCCTTAACACTGGCTAGGGATCTCTGCAAGATTTTACTTCATCCAAACGAAAAATATTCATGTTCTGTTGCCACAAGGCACCATTTCCAAACCATTCCCTACACCTTGGACCAGGAGGGCCAGGCAGGAAGATTCTCCCTCTTGTGCTTCCTGGACAAGGGCCAGGAGCCACAAGCAAAGCTCCTGCTGGCAGCGTTGTGGGCACATCAAGCAGAATGTTCGTGTGAGCTCCTGGCTCTGCTCCTTGCAGAGGGGACAGGGGACTGCTTGGCTCACCTGCTCTATGAGCCTGATGATGCTGGTGCTCTCTTCCTGGCGGAAGGACATGGAGCAGGGCAGGCTGTTGAGCTGCCCTGAGAGCTGCAGGGGGGTGAGCTCCTCAGAGCCATTGCTCAGGGTGGTGCTGGTGGCATAGCCAAAGGTCTCCCAGGAGCAGCGGGATGGGTAGAGAGGGTCCAGGGCTATACTGCAAGGACAACACAAGGGGTGTTGGTGAAAGGCCTCATCCCAGAGAGAAAACTGTCACACTGCTGTGCCATGCTCTGTGTACCTTGATCAGGTAGAGAAGCCTGAGCTATAACATGAATTTAGGATCAATCTCCCTAGACTTTCAATTATTCACAGAAAAAAAATGAACACATTTTGGTTTGTGGCAAAAGGTCAACAAATTGGCTGATCCATGGGGTACTTCCACTCTGTCACTCAATAGGAAGCATCTGTAGTGGCAGCTGGGGCACAACAGTCCAGCATGCAAGAGAATATCTTCCTTTCAGATGTGGAAATACCTTTTTGTGTCAAGGGCCTGACACAGACATCCCCATCCAATCCCCCCCAACCACCCTCTTGGAGACAAACACAGCTAAAAATGGACAGAGCAATTGTGAGCACCTCCCTGCACAGCCCACAGGTGTGCTGTGACCCACACTGGGTACTTGCTAAGATGAAGGCAAAGGCAGCTGCAGGAGGAATAGGTCCTGCCCCACCTGATATCACTCTGCAGGAAGAGGCAGCTGTTGCGAAGGTTGGCAGAGCTTCCCAGACAGCAGGTCACCTCCCCATACTCCTGCATGATCTTGATCATCTCACACATGGCTGCAGAGGGACAGAAGGAGCAAGGATGCCATAATGCACACAAAAATGCAATGTTTCACACCCTTTCCAATCTGGGTAACAAACAGATCCTTTAAAACTGCCCCATCTGATACTCACCACTTGTGTACATTGAGATCCACAATCAAAGCACACAAATAGACAGTTAATTATCTGCAGACCAGGTGCCCTATATACCTGCCACTGCAGGAATTGATCTGTGGTTCACAGAACTATAACCCAGAGATTTGCATCTCCAGCACACCTTTTTCAGACCAGAGCTGTAGGTATAGCCTGGGTGCATAAAACAGCTTCAGCATCAAATGGTCTTGTTAGAAAACAGCAGAAATAAACCTAAATAATTCAAACTGAAAATAAATAGAGTGTTTCAAACTCTGCTCAGTAGCACATCACTAGTGGTGCTGCAAGTCTAAAGGAAGGAAGGGAATGTAACAAACCATTCCAAAAGCAGTGCCACATTTAGCCATACTCAGACCTGCACTCCCACCCACCACCACCTCTACCCTTTATCAATATGTTTATTGACATTCCTGGGGCCTCTAAGTCAAAGCTGCTCTTTGATCTGATTTTAGTTCTGTAGCTCCATGCACAGTGCCCTGTGTATACACGGATTTTCTAGAATGCTCCAGGCAAAAAAGCCCAAGCCTCCTTTCTGCAGATCCTCTTGTAAACACCTTCACGAAATGCCTGGTGCACAAAGACCTGCAGCACAGTGAGGGGCTGGGTCAAGTGGAGAGCTGCCACTTCTGTCAGAGAGAGGAAATTTGGGCACTAAGTGTGAAGGCAGACTGCACTGTGATTGACACACTGGAAACTGTGACCAAAAGTACTAAAATGGCAAATCATAATGATGCTCCACTCACTGGAGATTTGGCAGGTATTTACCAGTTGAACACTCAGCCCCTTTCTTTAAGTAATACCTCAGAGAGAGACAGAAAAATTTTGTCCTTTCTGCTTCCTGCAATCAAAAACTGCAAAGCAGAAGGTGTTAACATCAACTGCCAGGGGGAAAATTTTCTGGGAAGTGATTTCCGAGTTATATAAGAGTTGTTAGCAGAGATCAAAGTCTCCTGGTACACTGATAACACTTATTTAATGGAAGGCAGTAGCATTTTGGATGTTTGCTTTTGTATCTGTTGAATGCAAATCGAAAGGAGTGGTTCTCAGCCCAATTCAGCAGCTGGGCAACAGCTGCACTAAAATTCAGTTAACACCTGGCTCCCCACAGGTAGCAACAGAGGGTAATTAATAGCAATATTTCCTCCTAGATTTCTGGAATGTATCCCCTTCCCTTCACCCATGTCCACACTTGGATGAGCCAGACCAAGGAGCTGGGGAAGGAATTCATGGACAGGAGAAGCAAAGGCCACTTACTCTCTGGGGTGCAGTCTGTGAACAGGGGCACCAACAAAGGCACGTTGTCAATGTTCTGCAGGTGAGGTCTCACCTGGTGGATACCCCGGGGGAGTTTGGCCTGAAAAAGACAAAGGACAGATTAAGCAGAGTGGCATTTCAGAGGGAAATGCTGAAATGAGAATGATGATTCCTAGAATTATGCAGCTTCAAGATCAGATACAAATTCATGTTCCTGTAGGCAGAACTGGCTTTCCCAAGTCACTGTCAAAAGTTTTCTGATAAAGTTCTACACTGTCCTGCCAAGCTGCCTGTGCTTGCCCTCAGGGTTTATAAGGTCAGTGTGACAAACCCATGCTCAAGGATTTCTAAGGACTTTTTGCCTGTGTGGAGAATCTAGTCAGATACATCTGCTTTCTTCCAGCAACTGCATCCATTTCAATTGCAGCCACATCAACCTGCAGCAAGGCAAGAAGGGTTCTTGCCTTCTAAAACCAGGCCTAAAAGACTTATTAAAATCTGTATCTCTGATATTCCTGTAATCTCTGCTGAACAAATGTGAGATCTTTATGAAGCAGGAAGGGCTTGGCTCACACTGACCATTGGGCAGCACCAGTCTGTGGCTCACAGCTGGAAAGGAGAGTGTTTCTTCTGCCTGCATGGAAAGTGGGAATGTTCCCACTCCCTGCCCAGCCCATGGGACCCAGAGGAACTGAGGTGCAGCTCTGAAGGTTGCCCCATATTTGGTAACCTCCATTCCTAAACTCCAAAGCAAAGAGCTGTTCAGCAAAAGTCACTAAATGAGAGAATCACAAATTTCTCAGGCTCTAGATACCAAGCTGGAAGAGGGTGAGGGAAATCAGGGGTCCCAATGTAAACCAATCTCCTTCAAAGAGGAATTTCCTCTGGGAGCAATGAGATGACACTCCTGACCATGACAACAGCAGAAGGTGCACAGGGAAAGGGGCCCTCACCCTGTTGCAGTCCTCCAGGAAGCTGGGGATATCACTGTCTGTTGGCTGAAAGCTGATGAGATCAGAGTGCCCTTCCTCTTCCATCAGCAGAAGCCCCTCCACATCATCTCGAGAAACTGGAGCAGAGAGAAGCAGCATAAACAACAATCACAAACCTGCCTGTGCCACCCCTTGTGCCACCCACGTGGGACATGCACGTGGTGCTGCAGAAGCCAGGAAACGTGAGGCCTGCTTTTCTGGGTTAGCAACACTCAGATCTCCCACTCAGTCATCTAAAATGCAGTATTTTTAGATGACTAATCTGTTCAGAGGTAGATATGTGAGCCTAGTCTCTGCTCTTTTGAGACATGATACTTTATCTGTTCTGCTGTCCTTCTAGAGGAAGAGAATAAAGAAATCCCAGCTGAAGTAAGAAAAAAAAGAGTCATGCACAGGCAAGGGACCTTCAGTGGCTTGACCAGGGCCCCAGCAAGAACCAGAAGCACTCATGAGCACATAAACTCATGGCAGCTGGTGCACAGAAGGATGTTTGCTTCCAAAAACTTGCTACTGGCTGGCTAGAAAGGCTATAAATGTAAAGTGATGTCCCTTACACACACACACCCAAAGCCCATCCAGTTTTGTGCTCAAAGCTCTGTTAGATGAAGTGTCTGGTGTGGACACAGGAACCTATGAGAGGGTTTAAAAGAACCACCCAGGAAACACATGGCATTCAGAGTGGCCAAGGCACAGTTCTCACCCTGATGGAGGTCATCATGCAGGGAGCCAGCATGGCTGGGGCTGGAGGGGGGAATCTCTGAGCCAGGCACATCACCATTGGGTGTTAAGGATATGTGGCAATTCCAGCCAGTCTCCAGACCCATTTTCTCAGCAAACACCTGTGGGTGAGCAGACAAGGGTTTTAGAATGGCTGCCCAGGCCAGAGCACTGCAGACTGATGCCATACTGGAGCACAGGAACCTTCTGGACAAATTAGTGGGCTGAATCAGATTAACCTTAGATTGCACTGGAGCTAAACTCTCCAGTCAGACAACCAGGGGCCATGCAAGGTCAGGGGGTTCAGCAAAGACAGCTTACCTTGCTTTTGAGCTCATCTTCCAGGGAGAAGTAGACAAAACGAATGCAGGCATTGACCAATCCATCAATGAGGCGGACAATGTCAAGGCGGGCCTGATACTGAGATGAGACCATTCCCATGAAGATCTGTCCACTCAGAGCCTGGATACAATCTTCCTTCTCCATCACTTCCCCAATCCCTTCTTCAGGCATGCAAACAACACGCAGTCACATTGAGACATGAGGGGCCACGTGTGCATCAGACGAAGTTCACGTGGTGGGGAGGCCACCGAGGTGACACCCAAGGACAGGGGATCCAGACAGAGAAATGTGCAGGAACACAGACACAGGAGGAAAGATGAACAGACATCCATTTGTGCCAGCATACCCAGTCACAGAAGTGGTTTCAGGACACCCCCACATAGGAGACCAAGAACACAAGTGGGAAACAGCAAGCACGGAAAGGAAAAAGATAAAACAGAAGGCAGGGATCAGTCACATGGAATTTGGGTAGAAAGGTCAAGGATGTGTGCTTCATAATGTTCACATGTGCATTTTAAACACATCCTACTGTGCCTAAACAATATGGTGAGTCTAGCTGAGGCACAGTGGCATCAGAGCACAAGGGGCTGATGCAAAGGAACTGAATCACGTTCCCTGCAAACACTTCCAAAAAGCCTGCAAAGGCTCTTTGACAGGGTTCCTTCACCATCACCACATCAGCCTATGGTGAACGGGGGCTGGATGCAGCAAGAACAAAATAATAAAACACTTCACACAGTTGCAAGGCTTGCCACAAGTGGGACTCAAAAGTGTTTTGAAAACAGTCGCAACTGTTCCTAGCTGTTGGAAACCCCACTAGTCACACTGCACAGAACGGGAGACCAAGGCAGAAAGAGGTTAAGATTGGTTTTCCTAAAGAACCTCCTAGATTTGTGTAATGGTATGTGCTGCTTTCTCAGTTTCCATTGCTGTTCTGAAGGGCATGTACAGTTCATCTAGTGGGAATCAGTTCCTTCAGCACAGCAACAAAATCTATCAAGGAATAATAGTTGCACAGCACTATACATTTCAATTCTTTGAAAAGTCCATCACATATGATTTCGATAAAATCAGACAAATAGCAAACCAAGTACTGAAATACCCAGAAGTCTTGATTCTCTGTAGCCTGCTTTAGAAACACTTCCCACAAGGAGAAGAATTTTTATGTAAGCTTTAATAACTTTAATAGAAATCCCCTACCAGCTGCCACATCACTACTTCCTCGAGAAACTCTTCCTTCCAAATTTCCATCTGCTACTCTGAATAACAATGTTCTTACAGCTCTCCCTGGGCCAGCAGCAGCCCTGGCTGCAGGCACACTTACCATCTGAGCTCCAGCTATTCCTCCTGCTGCTCTGTTTGATGGGAGTGGTCCCGGGGAGGTCGCAGCACGTGAAGATCGCGCTCTGCCCCGGCACCTGCACCAGCTCTATGCACTTGCCATTGAGCTGGGAGGACAAGGCACAGTGCATTGGCTTGTATGCAAAGGCAGAGCAGTATCCTGACAGGCAGGCTCGCTGGTAGAAATCCAGCACCTTCTTCCTATGTGGAAGAGAGAAAAAAACAGGCAAAGTTAGCAAAAATGTGTCACATTTCTATGGCATTACAGAAATGCTGCCGTTTCATGAATTTGGAAAAATGTCTTCCATAAAGAGTGGTTAGAAAGTCTGAAGAAGACTATCCCTGCTGTTTCTGCATTCTCCAAGCTGCAGGCACTGAAGGGCAACAAGAACACATATTCCAACAGGGGCAGTGGTGAATGTTTCTGTTTGCTCATCAGATTGATTGGTATGAACACAGAGCTCTTCAAATACACTTATTAATATAATATGCTTATATGGCTGCCAGATGACTCCAAGGAAGTTCACTGCATGATAGCAGAAGCTTAATTCATCAGACATAATTTATCTGTAGGGAGATAAACACCAAAGAGGGAACTGTCAACTCTGGACCTATGGCAGAGATAGTTGCAGGAGCAAACTTTTCTCCTATTCCCTTTCAGAGTCTGGGTCCCAGGAGCTGTATTTAGTCAATATTCAGACACTGAAATAAGGTAAAGTTCCTTCTCTAAGATGAATTCGTAAAGTTAACAAATTAGACTATACGTCAGATTTTTAATTTGCTTGTAACATGATCAATATTCCAAAAAGGATCAGTGGCAGTTTTTTCACACCTGAGGATAAGCAGATTTAGAAGAACAATGTAAAAAGTCAGTGAAACTAAACATTATTGGTCTGCTGTGCCAACAGGAACAGCAATTCAGCCTGTAGATGAAAATACAGCACACACTGTCAGATATTGCAGCAGGACTCCAAGGGCTTGATGCATTGTGTGGACTGGTTCAGGCACAATTGATCATTTTGCATTTAATGTAAGACAACAGATTTTTCTTGAAAAACAGCAAAAGTTCTCTGCCACCAGCATGACCTGATTATAATTCAGTCCTTCTGTACAGTACAGTCAGAATCACTTACAAGAGGACAATATCCCAACAGACATAGTAAGAAGTGGCTGGCTCTTCCAGTCCAACTGAATGCTTGTTGTTATCTAATCTCTTACATTTCTGTGATAACAATTAATTACAAGCAGAGATGGTTCATGCTCACAACCTACTCAAAGCTCTTAGAAAGCTTAACAAGCATCACAAAAAGAAATATAACAGTGACCAAGTTCTCTCTGCATTTTATCTGCAGCTCCTGAATTCCCCAAATGAGAAAGATGCCCACCTGTCAGAGCCAGAGAGGGGGTAGATATCAGTACCATCCCAAAAGTCAGTACAGGCCTCAAGGATGATGTCAGCTGTCCCATGAGAAAACATCTGCTCAGTGCCTGAAGTGTAGGAGAACAATGAGTCAGCATCACATACACAGCTCCCAGGAAGGGGATATCACACCAACTGCTCCCTTATTTGTTAAAACATGAGTGTTACCACAAAATGCTTTGCTGGATTCCAGATATCTCCTTTTCCTCTGCTGAAAGTCTTCAGTCTCCATCAAGAAATTGTTCAAGACTGATGATGCACCTGCAACTGCCCTTTGTGTAATTGTGGGTTCAAATAAGGCTGTGATAAAACGAGAGCCATGTAGTCCCTTCCTATTCTCCTCTAACCCTGTGTATCAATCCTGCTCCTATAAAGGTGGGATAATATCTTGCTCCTGCATCTCACAGAGCAGAAGAAGAGAAATTCCTTTATGCCTCTTGTCATGAAAGTACAAGCAGCAATGATGAGCCTTTGGGGATCAAAGTCTGGCTACGCTGCAAAGTGCATTCATTTTTAGGCCAGATGTGGAACTAAAGGGTAAGAGCTATTCTTGAATACTTTTCATTCGAGTAGCAGAAGATAATTTGACAGTGTGACCTGCCAGATAACAGCCTGTTTCACATTTTCACCCTGAAAAAGTGTTAAATCAGGATGGGTCAAAAGTTCAACAAAAGACACTCTAAAAATGTATCTCATGCTGTCTTTATGGAAGAACTGAACATCAATGGACACCACAGCTTGTCCTGTTTTCCTTTCTCCCCCTATTTTAGTTTTTAATACAGACTCAAAATCTCTTATTTCCTCTTGTAGTCAGAGGTGTTAAAAAGTTTTTCTTAGTGGTGTGTGACATCCCTGATGTAGGTCTCAGGCACAGGACACAAGTCCAGAGATGTGGGGCTGTCTCCCCTCCATACCTCCTGCTCCCTCTCATTTGTATCAACTCATTAACATTTCCTGCACATAGAGTCTCCCTTCCCTCCTCCAGCTGCTCTGTGACTTTGCCCCCAACAGCTTCAAAGCTGAGCTAATGAAAAAAAAACCCCAACCCCAAAAAACCCCCAAAAAACCCACGGCCAAGTAAAATGAGCCCAAAGGCTTCTTGCAGGCATTGTTGCTGACTGCTAATGCTCACACTGGCTGGTGAAATCCAGAGCCAAGAATATCCCCTCAACACAAACCAGGCAGGGACCTTCAGGAACACCAGAGGATTTTCCAAAACATAGCAGCTCTCTGCTTTTGCTATAAATAGTCATCACAAGCCAAGTTTTCAGCATAACAAACCTCCAAGATGAATAAGAGTTGTGTGTGAAAGAAGGAGGCTGTCTCGGGGACACAAAGGAGCACTTGTGCAGAGCTCTGGTTAATTTTATTGTATAAACACCTAATCCTTCCCACCTTGCTCCTAAGGTCAGATAGTCCTTGCTAGGAAAGAGGGAACAAGAGATGTTTATCCATGCAAAACCTACGTCCTGGACACAGAGCAAGAGCTTGCAATGACCACATGCACAGACGTACCCACATTTATGCAACTGCAATCCATTTCCCATTCATTGCCACCAGAATCCCACACCACAGCCCTGCTAAGGGGAAAGTGGCAGTGACTGCAGACACTATAAACTGCAAGGAGTTCACTGAGCTGTCCTTGTCAGTAAAATGAGCTCAGCCCTTTCCCTTTCCAAATCATCAACTCTCAGGCCAGGATTTCTCTGGCAAAAAGGGAAAAAACGAATGAATAGGGCAGGAGGTATGAGCAGCCATTCATGGCTGCTGGGACTCATTGGAGAGAAGCAAACTGCTCCAGCTGAGCCAATGAGACAGATCAAAAGGGATGGAGCAGTGCAGCTCCAGCAAAGCAAGGCAGAGATGGTATCTCTGTTTTACTCCGTGGAAGACGCCAGTGAGCTCCTCATTTCCATGTGGTTACTATGGATCTGGGATGAACACTGCCAGATGGTGACACATGTATTTCAATGGAATAGTAAGGGAATATACAGATAAGCTGCCTCCTATTTCTGCTACAGCTGTAGAATTTATGTATCTTGCTTTGACTGCAGTATGTCATGGGAGTGGGTGGATTCAAAGATTTATTCACAAATAATGTGTGGAGAAAGGTAAATTATGATCATCTGGTCTGACTTCTGCATAAACAGAGCCCATTTGACTTCATCCAATGTTATCTGCACAATCCAGTATTTCTGGTTCTAAAATGGCAGTATTTTAGGAAATTTCAAGGGGCAAGACTATTGTGTGAGAGGTGTTCCAATGGTTAACTAAAACCAACTGGCAAAATTCCTCTTAGAATTTACTCTAGACAGCATAATCCAGGTCACACCTATTTGTCTGAGCTCCAGGCTCTAACCTAAACCGTTTAAAAGTGAGGATAAGGAGTTGAAATGAGGCAACATTAAAGGTTTTTTTCTCTACACTAAAAATCTCAGCATCAAAATAATTCCTACTTACAAAGGCAAGATAGCAGCAGTCAGAACAAATGAAAAAGCTCCTTCTCAGATTAAGACAAAAACTTAAGAAGAAGTGGGTGAGAGAAGACAGTTAACCTGGTAAAACTCTGGCCAGCACAATGATCATATTTCAGATTCAATATTGAACATATGTCAACTCAAGAGAGCCAAGTTCAGTCAATTTAAGGAATTACAAAGAGACTAAGAGCTCTGACAGGCAAGCTGTTAAATCTTTCTGAGGTGCTTTAAGACCTCAACCAGCTGTACATCCTTTCCGTCCTAGCCTATTCCTATGAGAGTAGGAAGGAGTAAAAAGAGTGGAGAAGTCTGCATGGCTTCAGGTTTATATTCATGGTCACTGTGAGTTTGCATGGGAGTTTTGTGATTTATTAGTATGCAATACAGGAGTGTGTAATGTAACACAACTCACAAATATATTGGTTTATGATTTATCAGAAAGATGAGCATTATTAACTAAAACCAGAGTGATATTCAACCCTGTGCAGTATTAGTTTCATTACTATAATGAAGTCTATTACAAGCTCAATAAACCCACACCATGTTCTGCACTTCCATTTGTTTCCAGAAAACAAGTCTACTATGTGCTAAGATATTTTTTAAAAATTATTTATGATTCTGGAGCGAGCCAAGGCCCCCTCAGTATAGCACAGATGATCACTGAAGTTTGTTAATCATATCTGCACTGGGCAGAGCAGGGCCATCACCCCACAGGGACTACAGGCTCTTCCAGCCTGACATTTTCTGGGCTCTCTGAGGAAAAGCTCACCCTGTGCCAAGTGCATGCCCAGAGAAAGAGGCAGCCTTACTGGTAGTGGTGTCCTTCACAAACAGGTTAATCATGTGGCTCAGGGGGGGTCTCCTCTTGGTGATGGATGAAAGCTTCCCCAGGATGGTTTCTTTAACCATCTCATCGCTTGGCAAACGGTACAAAGCCAAATAGTTCTCCTGCTTGAAAAGATCTTTAGCACCTGGTGTGAAACCTGAAACATGAACACAAGGAGATGCAAAATCAGGCTCTAATTAATGCAAAAGAAAAGTCCCTTCTCCTGCTTCTGTGCCACCCACTTTTCCTGTGCTCATTCTGACACCTCCCCAGCAATTGGCAGGTAAGCTGTGCTTACTGTGCATCTATGTAAATATGGCTCAAGATCTAGGATGAAAAACACTCAAAAGGACTAGATGAGTAATAACAGTGCTCATGCTCTTGTTCACTGATGAGAGTAACTGTGACATCACAGGACAGCACGGAAGTGAGTTCATGTTTCCAGGTTTTAATCCTAGAGTTACCTCTAACCTCTTACTACTCCTGTGCCTCCATCCTCCCATCTGTAAAATGAGCTGAGGTATGTCATTTATCCCCAAACTCCCTCTAAAGCCCTACTGTAAAGACAGTCCAGATATCTGTTCATTAGCAGGTATTCTTTGTCTCCTGATGAGACTGGCAGACTCACAGCAGAAGAATATGAAGCCTAGCCAGGGCTGGCTGGCACTATCCTTAATGACATTTGTTCCTTGGATAGCGCTGACAATGTCAGAACTTGCCAAAAGCCATCTCTTTAATAAACTCTTTTGGCAACCAAACAACAGAGTCAGCTCTGTATTTCCACTTCCTCAGCAAACGGGACTGGGGAAACATTCTCATGCTCTCTAAGGATTAAGTGTCAATAGACAGCTCTGATTTCTCTGTGTCTGTTCATCCAGTTCCTCCTCACCTATCAGCCTGGCAAGCTCACAGAGGCCCCAGGGCACGTGGACAGGCAGCACAGCACTGTGAGTCTCCTGCAGGGCGATGTTGCAGAGGTGGTCGGAGAAGCGGCACAGCCGCTCGGTCACGCCGGCGTTGCACAGGTTGAGCAGCACGTTCAGCCCCAGAGGCTTGAGGGAATTCAGGTGCATGTGCCAGTTGGAGTCATCAAACTGGATGCAGGAGGGGTTCTGCTGGTCCTGGGACAGGCTGAGCATCTCCAGGTGGTAGTCACACACAAAGTCTTCAGCCTCACAAGCCAACGCCTCGCTGTCTCCAACAGCCTGGTCCAACAGGCAGAGAAATTGTAGTTGGTTACAATGAATACAGCTTGAGCCTAGAATCCTGCAGGGAATTCCCAATTAAACTCCCAAAGAGTGGAGACTCTGTGGGTTTGAGTTTGTGTTACAGCTCCACAAAAGCCTACCTGTATGCCCCTCCAGTAAGTCTTACCTGAGGATGTTCCTCCTCTCCACCCTCTGTGTCCTTGCTAAAGCTCACGTTGGATCCAGAGGGATGTTTGCTTCTGCTGTTTGGCTTTCGGTGGGCAGAGGCTTCGGGAGCCTTTGGAGCATCACCAGACCAGTTGTTCCTCTCTTGTTCATTGGCCATGTGCACTGTGTCTGCCAGTGGGCCAGAGAGCAAAGCATCTCTTTCATGGGGCTGTGAGAGACCAACAGAACAAAGGGTGGTGATTCAGGGGTTGAACACAAGGCACTGCTGATTCACCTGCTGCTTCAGGACTCCTGTTGGAAAGGATCCTCGCTTGCTTCTTCATCTTTAAGCAAAAAATTACGGCACAGGACTTTTCTACAAGGCCCCTCTATAATATCACATTGTGTGTCAGTCAAACTATGATTGCAGCCAGCACACTGTATTATGGATTGAGGATCACTCACCTCATCTTCCATCTCAGGATGGCAGAAGGATCGTGTGGAGAGCTCGTCAGTCAGGTCTTCATGGCTGTCATGAGGTGGTTCCACCTTCCCACTGAAGAACAGAACAGTCTCTGGGCTGGGGTTTGGCCACGAAAGAATCCCCTGCTTGTCTACACAGCAGAGCACCTAGAACATCCCACAACACCCCCAAGAAAGTAAAATCTTAGTGAAAACATGTCAGTGTTCATGCATAGTTGTAAATATCATGACTTTAATAAACACATGGGAGGACAGACAAGTCTCTCCTTCAACAACTTTCTCTCTTAAGAAACTGCACCTAATAACACTCCAAGAAATCCAAGAATTCCTTGCTCTAACAAGATTGATGGGTTGTTTAACACCAATTTTACTTCAGCATATTACAAAACTAGGCATGAAGACCAAGGGAAGGAAGCAACCACTCAACCTATTTCACCAGCTAATACCTTACCAGGAACCAAACCAGCTGGTTCCTGCACAGGAATCAAGAGGGTAATTTGACCAGAACCAGAGCTGGAAAATACAGACATCCTGTCAGATGTCACAGAGTATCTCAAACCATTGTTTTAGCCTGTAAATGTGCTTGGACATGACAAAACAGTTACACAAAATCTATACAAATCTTCTACAAAGACAGGTGCCTGAAGGGTTTCTAATTCCAGCACAGTGAACTGATTGCAAACAATCTGTGCTCAGGGAAGGATGACATGAATGATGCAAATGAAGCATCCTCACAGGGCTCCTCTTTCTGACAACCCAGCAATACTCACAGTGACAGATCCCAGACTGTGGAGCAAGCTGGAAGTGAAGCTCAGAGTTGGGGATTTGCCTTTTAAAACACAGAGGAAGTGGCTCCAGATACAGCGTATCATTTCCTGAGGAGGGAAGCAGAGGACATCAGCCAGTTAGAGACTCATCCAGTGGGAGATGAAGGGGGAGAAGGAAAAAAAAGGAGTATGACATTACCTGCTTTCACTTTCAACACAGGGATACACTGTGAGATAGACATCAGTCTCTGTGGGAACCTGTTACCTGATACAGTGCTGGTGTTCTCCAGGGAAATGCATTTCTTCCCCTCTCCACTGAATTGCTCACAGTCAGCCTGATTGTTGAATTGAGAATTCACTGAAACTACCTCTTGTCTACCCAAAAGCACAGAAATTAATTCTGGAGTTCATTTCGAGTGGATCAGTTGTCACCTCTGGGTATTTTTGTCCTAAAGTAACTCAACCCCTTGGATTGTGGAGTTTGAGGCCTTTGGTTTCCTAGCACCTTGCTGTAAATCAGGTAAAGGATGGGGGCCCTGTGGTGAGGTGACTTGCCCAAGGTTACTCACTGAGGCAATGATAACATTGGAAACAAAGCCAAGGTGCCCTGACTACTCCATCCTTACAAAGGAATTGTAATGGAATGAAAAGAAGGGGATATTTTACAAAATTAAAATGTCCACTTGGCACCCTTCATTTTCCACACAAACATGTTTCAGAGGGAGTCTGGATAGCAGCAATCAATCCAAGCACCAGAGCTGTGTGTTTTCCTCTGGCAAGCCTAAAGCCAGCAAAACCAGGATTGAATTACTGTGTTATTTTACTGCTTTTTAGCTGTTATTCTGGAATATTGTGATTACAGAGCACTTCCCCCAAAGCTCCTCAAATCGTGTTCCCTGGATCCTAATGGTTAGTACAGCAGTAAGCTCAAATGCAAAACAATCCAGAGCTATCACCAAGAAAGAAAAGCTCTTATTCAAACCAGTTTCTTCTGAGCAAAAATGTTATAAAAGGAAAGAAACAGATCTTCTCAACAAGGTAGGTCAGCTAAAATCATTCCCATCTGAAAAACATCTCAGCTAAATGATGAACTGGCACAGAAAGGCAACAAAATATTCAGCAAAGGTAATGCATGTGCACCCATGTGCATTCCTCTGAGTGACTGGGAGCAAGGAGACAGGAATTTATTCTTAACACACCTAGGGATTTTTAGTCACTCCTGGAGTCCATCTGCCTCCTTACAGAAAGGGGAATCTTAACACCAGATTAGACAGAGAAGTATCTTCCTCTACCAACCTGTTTAATCTGGATGATGCAATTTATGGAGTGGCCAAAGCAGTTCCTTCCCCACAAAAAGGGCTCCTGAAATGTTCAATTGCCCCAGCTTTGGAAGCACCAGTAATGTGCTTAAGCCTGATAAGAAGCCTAGGGAGCAGGATCAGACTTTTAAAATGCCTGAACATCCCGTGGTCCCCTCTGCAGTTTGGTCTGGGTGCTGAGCACCATTCCCTCTGTTTTAGTTTTGGCTCGAACAAGGTTTTTCTGGTACAAGCAAAATACTTCCCTTCTTTCAGATACACACCATACAAAGTTCATTTTACTTCTGGAACAGGACTTAGAAGAGATACTGTCTCCAGGATAGAAAATGTTGATTTCAAACCATTTGCAATATTCAGAAAAGCACAAGTGGACTCAGAATCAAGGTCACCTCCATCTCTGGTCAGCACAGCAGTATTTACATGGGGAGGCAGAGGGGCAGACATGCAACCTGCATGCATAGCAAATTAAAGCAACAAATGAGTGACAATGGACAACTGACAAAAGTAAAAAGGATCTAGCAACAAGCAGATGAGAGAGGAAGGGAAAGGATATCATGAAGTTCTGCAGTGAAGATGGAGGAAAACAATTCATAATAATAGTACCTGAGAAGATACCATCTCTGTGTAGCTGCTGAGAGTGTCCTCTGAAAACTTAGCAAGCTGCAGCAAGAGAAGAGACCAGTTACTATAATTGTGCTCAGAAATGTGCCATGAGGAACATCCTTCCCTCAGGATGTGCCTTCAGGGAGGAGAAAGCAGGAGTCCTGCTCCGTGGGAATCGCTGTACCAAGGCAGACCGATAACTCATCAAAGCAATTAAGTCTTTAATGGACTCAATTTTTATCTACTTGTGAAGCACAGGCAAAGTGCTTGGTGCTGTACATCACAGAGGAACACACAGTCATTACCTAAATGTCTACAGAGAAAATAATAGCAATTAGACCCAGAGAAGGCTCTTTCTGGGTGGTTATTTTTAGTCAGAAAGAGACAGGATTGAGTGATCTGATTTTCACTTATATGGGTCAGTTACAGGAAGGGAGCTGGAAGAGGGGTTGGAAAAGCAGGTGCCTGGAACACAATGGACACAGAGGAATGAGGTGATATGAATGGGATGTGGATAGGAAATGAAAAGAAATTGTAGCAGGGCACCACCACGGTGCTCTTGGAATCACGCTGAGGAATTCACTAACTCAGAATTTTTGCATCCAGTACAAAGGTATTCCACACTAGATGCAATTTTGAAAAAAAATAAATTTAAGTCTATTCATAACCATAAGTGAACATGGCAATTACATTTATATGTAAATAGAACTACAGCCCAAATAATAATTCATATATCTGGCACTCGAAAAAGGATCAGTTTAACAAAGCTGAAAAAAGCTAAGAGAAATCTGTCAGAAATCAATTAAACTAAGAACTAAGAAAGATAATTAGGAACTGGTTAAGAAAATTTTGTTACAATTTTAAAAAGCAACAATCCTATAGTAAAAATAAGAGACCAGTCTTGATTGAAAGCGAAAATAGAAGCAAGAATTAACATAAAAAAATAAGGAAAAGTATACCAAGTAGGTAATTAAAACCAGACCACTGCTTGTTAAAGACAGTGGAATTGCAAATGAACACTGTAGGCAAGGCAGACGTGTTAAATAAATATTGCTATTCCTTATTCAGTGATACAATCATACCATATGATAACTATGAAATATTTTCCATTCCAACACCAGCTACTGAAAGTAAATATGTTAAATTAGCAGGCCTGGACAATGACTGTTACTGCTGATTTTGCACAAGGCTTGAACTATGGATTAAGTCCCAGTTCAATGGAAGTGGTGCCAATGCCCAAAAAGGGAAGGAGAACCATCCAAGTTACCACAGGACCCCAGACAGACTTTGATTTCAGACAGAATAGGAGCAGCTAATATGAGACTCAATTAAAAAAAAAAAAAGTGGAATAATACAATCAGTGCCAAACACCACAACTATATGAGCAGCAAATCTCAAACTATTGTGATATCTTTTTTTTACAAAATTACAAATTTGACTGATAAAGTACTGCTTTTGACATAAACTATTTGGCAACTTGACTAGATTCTAAATGCTTGACTAGTTTTCTAATGAAAATACCAAAGTAATAGGGCCCATGTCAAATATATTTGAAACCTACTATGTCTAAATGGAACAGAAACAGAAAATATTTGCAATAATGTGTTACTAGCTCAAGCAGGGACAAATCTAGGTATTTGGGAGAAAACTAAAAACAACACATTACTGATAGAGACTGTAAAGGATACAAAGTTTAGGGCAGGGTGCAATGTAAAGAGCACAGACCACTGTCACAGAACAATATGGATTGCCTGGGCAATATGCAAAAACATGTATCCCAACAGGCACAAAACTAAGGCTGTGTATTTAGGTGCAAAAATGAAGGTGGATTACAGGATGAGGATTCTCAGAAAGCAGTAACTGCAGCTGAACAAAGCCTGGCCTTTGAAAGCAGTGGCTGAAAGATCTAATGGGATCCTTTGCTGCACAAACAAGGGAACACAGAGCAGAAAGTCCAAATCATTCTGAAATTTATCAGAAGCACAGCTATTACTGGAATATTTTGTGGGGTTTGAGATTCATAACCCTACACAGATCCTGAAACAGTGCAGAAAGCTAAGAGGAACGCCAAGAGAAAGATTAGAGGTTTGGAAAATATGCTTCTAGTGCCTCAAGGTGCTTGAACTGTTTACTTAAGCAGACATGGTAAAAAGGAATGTGAGTAGTTACAACAGACCAGAATTTTGATTGACGTGCTCTTTGCTCTCAAATCAAGGAGACAAAAGATGAAAAATTTCCAAGGGCTGGAAATCAGATATTGCAGAAATTCCCACTAACACAGAATGTTCATTTTTAGCAGTGAAGGTAAATAATTACCGAGACAACCTATCAAAGGCAATACAAATCTTTTCAAACCAACAGCAAATTCCTTTCTAAAAGGAATGTTGCTGCAGTCCAACTGTAGTAATGAAACTTGAGGCATGGGTTTGTTTAGAGGGGCACTGGTTTGTGTCCTTTCAACCAGTCACAAGGGTCACCTCTGGCCTTGAAAAATTGGGAATCAAACAGCTTGAACATGATAGGAAGGGGAAAAAGGTGGAGAAGTGGCCAAGTTGCCACCAAGTAGGCCAAGTGATTGGAGAGGAGAAGGGTCTTACCTGCTACATTTTGAACAAAGAAGAGAGAAGGTAGGAGAGAAATAGAGAGGCCAAGTGACTGCCCTGGTCAGGGGGTGAGTGACCAAGGCACATCACAGCAGCTGTTCTGCAGCAGCAAGGATGGAAGATCATGTCTGAGATGCCATAGAAAGAGCTGGCTGGACAGACAGAGTTGCCTGGACAAGAAAAAGGAGAAGACAGGAAAGAAAAAAAGGAAGGTCCAAGTATGAGTGACAGGACAAATGGGAACATTGGGAATGATGAAGCAAGGAAGCAAAGGAACTCTGGCTTTTCCCAGCTGAATTGAGAATTGTGATGGGCAAGAGGCAGGTTTCAAAAGTGCAAACCAAGTGATGCTGAGAATAGGTAGGAAAGGTAAAGTGGCAAAAACACTTAGAAGAGATTCTAAAGGTACAAATGTTACTAGGAGATGTAATGTGCCCTTCCTCCCAGGACACAGGCAGCTTAGTCATGTTCAACTAGAGAGAAAAAAATAGAAAACACAGACCCAGAGCCACAGAGGCCAAGGAAGGACAAGAAGGAGAGAGAAACTGTCCAAGTAACAGAAATCAGCACAGAAGACAAACACAGCTGAGTGCATCTCACCAGCACTGTCACCAGGACAAAAGAAGGGACGTGCAACAGCACATCCAACTCAGGATCACATCCCATCAGACCACCAGACTCCACTCCCCAAACCAGCACAACCACCAGAAACTGCTCTTACTCCCTGACCCACTCCAAGGCCATGCCTGCAAACAGCCCCAGAGCCCCAGGAAAGGATTGGTCATTGCAGAGGATATGATGTATCTCATTCCTTCCTACACATTGGCGAGTTACAGCCACCACAGGGCAAATACCTCCATGTTGACCCCTCTGATAAATTGTAGTTATTTGACAGAAAGCACATGCTTTGAAGTTTTATAGAATCATCAGAGCTTCCTATCACCTTGGGATATCTGTAGAGAGGTTGGAAAAAATTAAAGCATCTGTTCAAGAAGTAATATTGTACTCCAGGGAGAGGGCACAGCTGGGACAACCAAAGATCCAACAAGGTTTTACAATTATGTGGACACATCTGCTGAATTAAGTGTGCTCACTTCACAGAGCCTTTTTATCTCCTGCCCTTGTCTCTGCAATGGTTTGAAATGGAGAGAAACCTACCAGTGAGGAGGATGAGGCCTTGCTCATCTGGGCCAACACTCTGGCTTCTCCAAACGCTGTAGCAAGAATCCATAGGACAGGAAAGAGCAATGGAAGGATGGGTAAGACACCATTCACCTGAAAAAAACAACCTGTGATCACCAACAAGCACAGAGACAACAAGAAGTCAGAACCTCTCACATGACATCCTTTCCACCACAGTGAGAGGATAAGGATAAAAGGCCAGGGCAAGAAGGAAGGGGACTGGAGGCAGTCCCAAACAGTGCACAGCTTAGGGGTGTTTAATGAAGGAGGCAATGAATCAACCACACCAACTTGCAGCTGTTTTTCCTGCTGAATTTGGCATAAACTCTAAGGAGTTTAAAGGCAAAGGATACCATATACATAGAAATAGATAAATAGATACAGATAAACACATACATGGCAAATGAGAGAGCAAAACATTTAAAGTGAAGTCTGTAAGGAATGGCCAGGGAAGTTCTGCTGTCCTTCTCCACTGAATGCTCCTGGATCCAGCATGCTTCCAGACCCAGGAAGCACAGGATGCTGTCATAGGATGAATTAAGTCACTGAGGGAGAGAATTCCTGTTGGTGGTGCTCTGGGGAGGAGGTGTAGTGAAGCTCAGTGCTCTCCTTTACCTGCAGCTGAAGAAGAGTGTACTGCCAGGAAGCGATTCCAGGAGCTTGGAAAATGAAGCGCACGGCATTGGTGATCAGGAATCCAGCCTGCAATTCAGAGATGACACTGTCACCTAAACACTGGCACACTGCAGGGAAGGTATTTTCAGTGCCTTGTAACATTCTCAGCCCTGGGGTTAAGTATGAAAAATATATTTTTGCTCTGCTGCTGCAGTTCCTCCCTCCACTCTCGTGGTTACATGGCTCAGCATCTCTGATCTGCCCAGGGTACACACAGAGTCAGCTGCATGACAAGCCTGGCCACAACTTCCTGTTGATGGCTGCAAATTCTTCAGATTTATTGACAAAACATGGCTTATTCTCAAGGACAAAGGCTTGGAATGAGACTTACCAGCACAATAGGGACAGCATATTTCAGCATCACTGACTGCACAGTGAACCTCTCATTATCCAGGGCTGTCACAGGCCGTGACAGAGCCATTTCCAGGCACCACCTAAAAACCAGAAAACAGCTTGAAATTTCAGCAACCAAGAACCTAACCCTTCACTTTCCTTGGATATAAACCTCCCAGCAGATCTGATTAGAACACTGTGCTCAGCCTATGCTATGAGGGAGAGCTGTCAAAAGAGAAGCCAACATCCACAATAAAAGTGTGGCACTTGCCAGTGTAAATTTGCAGTGCTGCCAAGCAAACTCCTCAGGTCTCCTCACCTGCTTAGCAGGAAGGCAGCACTGTGCCCTGCACTTAACCCACCTGACATTGTCAATTATTGGGGTCTTCAACACACGGAAGAGACGATAGAGCTGAGGATTCTGAGGTCCCTTCTTCACTTCTCCTCTTGGGGAAGGTGGGGGTGAGAAAGGTGGAAATAGATCTCCAGGCTCCAGAACTATGTGCTCATCATCCTAGAAGAAAGGTCAGAGAGCCCAAAGGCTTGTGTTCAAGCACATCTGCTTATTTCATGAGAACTGGCATTCGGAGTGAAAGTTACAATTAAAACCATTAAAGGTAAATTTCAAGCTTTAAACTTTTCCCAACCTTCTTTAAGTAGTAAAATCTTTGTACAGATCTTGTAAATGACTAGTTAATTCACTTCTACACCAGGTATTTTATACTGCCTTCTTTTACAATAAATCAGTAGTAAGGAGAAGGTCAAAGCAGACAAACTTTATTTCTGCACATAAAAAGCAGGATAAAGGACGAGGTTTGTATGTCATATTATCCTACTGGATAGATTCACTCCACTTATATTTAGAAGCACATTACATTCTCCCCTTGACCTGAGAGAGGAGGAAATACAGTGCTTTTGTATAACATTAGTGTCTCCTGTCCAGTGGGTTTGGGAGTCCATGGAGAAGATGCAGTCTGGCTAACTATGCACCATCCTTGACTGAACTGGAATTTCAAGCTATTTTCAAGGTCAGAAGAAACCAAATACTCCAATAATCTGTACTCTGGGAATTAGAGTATTAGCAAGAAAAACCTGGGAAATATGTTGTTACAGGCCAGGGAAATTAGACAAGCAAATTACCTTAATCCCTCTCAGAGAAGCAAATGACTCCTGGCCTGGCCTCAAAGCAACAACATCTCCTTCTACCAAGAGGCTCACGGGCAGGTTGACAAGATGCCCATCCCTGTAGGCCCAGTGAAGGGACCAGGATGGGGCATAAGGCATGTGAAGGTCAGGGTACATGGAGTCTGGCCATTTCACCTCTTTGCCAAGTGTATCTGAAAGCACAAAGTGCAAAAGAATGAAGTGGTAGCAATTCTTGATTTACATCCTGTAGTGGTTATAAGTCCCCCAATGCTCAGCTCAGCCCATTCCAATGATCTTTTATCATCTCCCTCTTCCTTCTTGATGGCTTTTCCCTTCTCTCTCAACCCAGTATTAACAACTAAACAGTCATTTAAAAACCTATACAACAGAAAAGCTAAAGGCTGCCCTTAAAACTGCTCCACAGACATGAACTGCCCCCTCAGGTCCCAAAGCCCCTGATGCTCATGCACAGCAATTTATTTCCTTCTGCTCTGTGTTGTGATACAACCCCACGTGTTTTCTCCTCATCATCTGCTGCAAGGCAGATATTTTTATAAGGATATGAGGATTTGAATTACTCCAAAGCACAGCCATAACAGACGCCCACCTGTTAACACACAGCTTGGAAGCACATGGCCACATGACAGCTCAAAATAACTATTTTACAGGACAGGCATGAGGAGAACACACTTCCCACAGCCTGTTTCTGTGCAGCACAGGGGAAGGTTAGCAAGCTTAATTAGGAATGCATGTGATCAGCTTTGGGGAAAGATTCAATGGGAGGAAAACACAAGTAAAAATGGGACAGATGAAGGAGACCTCACCGTTTATCTTATCAACAATGGTCTGAAGCCTCCTCTCCACCTCTCTGCACTTCAGCCTCTCCTGACGCCCGATCGTGAGAAGATCCAAGAGGAGCAGGAGGAAGAGTGCCAGTGCATTGACTATCTCAGCACCTTGGCTTCACACAGCAAAACAGGAGGAAGCAGAATGCAGATGAGGTTTGAGTAAACGAGCAGAATACACTGCCAAACACCCACAGAGATAAACATACAACTGCCTGGTTGTTTATTCCCACATCTCACAGATTTATGGCTCAAAAAGAAACGCATGATCACACTTCTTCTTTAGGATAATGACACCAGAGAGGTCTGAAAGGACCCATCTAAATTAAAAAATACTTCACAAATATGGTCAAGGCATGTATAGCACATTAACTTCTCCCATGAGCCACTAATTTCTCCAGTTTCAAAATACTTCCTAATTATGATAATGCGTTAGGAGTTTCAAAGATCTAGGAATGCTGTAGAAAAAAAAACAAATCTCAGTCTCTCTATAAGACACTCTCTGGGTCTATTAGAAGTAGAATTAAGTTGGCTGAAGTTCTGTTAAAAGGATTGATAGGAAATTACCAGTGTGAGTAAGCTGATATCTAGATATCTAGACAGAATGAGGGACAACACATGTCAATGACTCTCGGTACTAAGATGATATAAAACCACCACCTTGCTTCAGTTCAGCAGCACAGGAAGCTTTGCTCACCTCCCCTGTGGCTGGCTCCCATAGCAGCACAGCAGCAGCAGCACTGCCAGCAGCATCAGAGATGCACCAGGCCAGTGGAAACAGGAGCAGCGGTTACCATGGTACAGGAAACTGCTCCTCCACACCTCCTGCAAAGGGAGAGCAGCACACAGTCAGCACTCACGGAATACAGAGCCAGACATTTGGAAAAGCAGAATGGGAAAGGGTGAAGACATCAGCTGGTGCTCCAGGGAGAACAGAACTTTGCAAAACCCCTGAACATGACACAGAGCATCCCAGATCCACTGTGTAAATCCTTCAGCAGCAATGGATATTCAGTTGGTGAGTCTGGGTGAACACTCTCTGCTTTTCTCTTGATTGGAAAAATGAAAAGGTTTCTGTATCAGGCTGTCCCATTGTCACTGACCAACCAGGAACGCTTTTAAGCACTGTGCATAAACACTGGCACTTTGTATTCGACACACATGCCAGGAAAACATTAAGGACAAGGGGAGCCTGTTGAGCTTCACAGCTCTTTATCTCCACCTGAGATGGACCCTCTAAGCTCACTGCCCTTAGTGGCTCTTGAAGTCCTGAGATCCTTCACAGAGCAAGAGGCATCTTCCCACTGAGCTCTGGCATCCAGGAGAGAAGTGCTGACAAAAACTCACCCTTGGGTAGATTCCTTGCTTTGTTCCCAAGGACTTTAGCACTTCTCCACCTGGACACTGGGAGGGAATTCAGCCCACTTCTGTTTAGCCCTCATCTTTACTTTGAGAAGGGGAGACCAAGTGCTCAACGTGTGCTCACCTTCCATGAGGTCCCTTTTTTCCGTTCCTTCTGATGCCCCTCCAGCAGTGCTGACAATTGGTCTCTCAGGATCGTGAGAGCTTTCTTTGTGGTAAGGCCCAAACTTGAGGTCATCTCATCCTGAGGTGCCAGAAAAATAAACTGGTTAGTGCTTCTCTATTTTCCTTTTAGGCTTTTTCCTGGTGGCTGACAGAGCATGTGACTGTGAATGCCCTGCACTCATCTCTCCAGTCTGATTCTCCATTTTCCTGAAACCATCTTCCCTCCTGTGAACTTTAGACTGCTGGCTGGAATTAGAGCACTTAGATAGTATCAGGTAAACAAACCGGTCCTGACTGTGCTGATAAATACTTTATCAAAGCACAATACTAAGTCATTTCTGTGAAACAAGATCTAATCAGCAGAGGCTGAGGACAACACAAACAGAGGTTATGCAGGCTTGAACTGGTATCAGCTTCAAGAGACAACAGAACACAGTTATGGCAGAATTTTAATGATACAGGATGAATTTTGCTAACAATACTAAAAACTAAGTAGTAGAATATCTACAATTCAAAACAAGAGTGGTCCAATTTCCACAACTGCTTGCTACAGAATTTTTTGTGAGTCCTGCCTCTGTGGCTCCTTTGATGCAGAAGCTCCTAGATTTAAATGCTAGGCTGCAGGACCAGACATGACCCTGTCATCAACTCCTCCTTTTACAAGAGCAAACACTGGAGTTTTAAGTGCTGAACTGCAAGGGAGACATTTGGATTTGCAGGAAACACGGAGTTCACAGCACTGCTCCTTCAGTGCTCAGCAAAGAGGCAGCAGTCCCAAAGGACACATCCCAGGAGTGTGCCATATGGAAAACGCTCCATAAGATGCTGATAACAACAAAGTGGGGTAAACATTTGCATTTCTGGGCCAGGAGCATGAGCACTTTCTTTCAAATCACAGATTGCAGTGAGGAACTGTGGGCTCCACACCACTGACAGCTAACCAACAGGGAACAGCAGGCAAGTATCCATGAGAGGGCTACAGCAGGGAACTGCTAAATCAACGTTCTCATGGGCATTTCATGTTTTAATACAAACACATTGAGCATGTACAGCACACAGGATATCCTGCATGTTGGAAAGGTTCACATGTGTCAAACTGTGCCCAGAGTACAGCACTACTGAACACAAACAGGCAGGAAGTTTGTCCCTCCTGTCCCCAGCAGTGTGACACAGCCCAGAGCTCAGCCAGGAGCTGCAGCTCTTCCTGCTCTTGTAGCTCTTCCCAACCTTGCCAAATCCACTGTGGTCTCAAACTGCAGCAGTTCTGCTCCTCAGGAGCTGCTTGCACACACCCAGCTCTGCAAGTGCAGCTTGGCTCTGATCTGTTCTTCCTGTTCCTTAACTGCACGGTTTCATGATGAACATTTACTGGAAACTAATCTTGGACTTCAGACTCATTTGCATTGATGGTCCAATCCAAAACTATAATGCAGTGTTGAGGAACAGAACACAAATTCTCTTTCAAATACCATCTACCACACACACACACTCCCCCCACCTATCAGGGACAACATGCAACAGCAAATTCTGTCCAGGCAGAGTCCAGCAATGCTGCTTTAGCTGCACTTTTACAGAACTAAAAATAATCCTGCTGCAGTTTTCGTTCTCTGTGTCAGCTTTAGGAATAGAGGAAGCAGTTCTGTGCTGTTCTTGGAAGCAGCCCAGGTAACATCAGCACAGGACTAAACATAGGAGTGTCTCAAAGACTCCCAGAGGAGAAGATGGCAGTGGAGCTGGCACCAGCCAAGCTGCTGCACCACAGAGTGCTGCAAACAGGAGTGTCTGAGAGCAACACCGAGCAAGGCACAGTCAGGGCTCTCTCTCCTGTCTGACTGCTGCCTGCCTGGGGCAGAGCAAGGCACCCACACAGAAAAAAAATCTTCTCCAACATGGAGAAAGCAGACAGATAAATAAAACACACAGAACGAAAGGCAGCAAAAGTAATAGGGACTTGAACTGAAAAGCAAAGTCTGCTTAGACACCGAGCTGGCTCCAATGGATTCATCAGGAGCTCCAGAAGAAATGAGAGGAAAGCTGCACTTAATGCCAACATCTACTACAGTCACACAGTGCCTGGAAAGACAAACTGCCATAGCTCAGCAGGCAGTGAGCACAGAAAGGCAGCAAATCCAGAGATAATCAAAAAAGGTTCCTGAAACACTTGCACACCTGCTCCAGACTTTACACAGGAGTTACCGGTTTGGCACAGTGTCACACCAGATAAGGACAGCCACAAAGGAACGTGGCTGTAGCAGGTGACAAAGGACAAGTGCAGTGTGGCAGGGCTGGGGAAGAGGAAGGGCAGGGATTGTTAAACACCCATCCTGACACTTAGAACATGGAGTATTTGGCAAAGGAGGCAGAGCCAGTCTGGTAAACACTGCAATACTGTGAGTGAGGGCTGCTGGGGGCACTCAGGTAACCTGCTGTGGGTGAAGGGAAACAGCCTGGCACTCAAATGAAAGGGACAGGCAAGAAGAGCCATCCTGAGCTCCTGGCAAGGGGCAGCTCCAGGTTTATGCAACAAAAGCTGCCCTGCTAAGTCATCAGCTGCTAATGAGGCATTTTTCAAATGCCCTTAAGTAAACCTTTGGCAAACCCAGGCTCTGAAGCTGTCCCAGAGGGATCTTTCCAGCCTTTCATCAGCTGCAAATGCTCTTCCTGCCACAAACCAGGAAGTGAGCACCCCAGGGTGAAGAAGCTGCTCACAGGAGGTGTCAGTTCATTAATAAAAAACCTCAACATTCACATCTTTGCTTTGGAAAGTTACAAAGAGAAAGCTGCTAATTTTCTGGTCCAAACAGAAACAGCAAGACACCTTCCCACCCAGCTGCCTTAGCACAGGGTTTGCTCTGAAAAACAACAAAGAAAGAGCAGACAGTAAATTCCAGGTTACAGTGAAAGCGAACCCCTGACGGGTATTAGGAGGCATTTTAAAAGGCTGTACTTCCCTTTCGCCTGTGCCTAAAGGCAAAAAGTCCTAAGGACAAAATGAGCAGTTGCTTCCTCCTTCACCGTGGAGAGCACAGGAGCCTCTAAGTGCACTTAGGGCTCCTCTGGAGCTGACCCTGCCCTGGCCATCCCAGCCTCAGTGTGAGGGGCATGGCTGGAGCCAGGTAAAAAGGAGAGGATTGCATCCTTCTGCTTTGGGATGATATCAGGGCTCTCAAGACTTGTGATCTATGGGATGGCTGTTAGGGGAAAACCAGGCCAGGACATTTCCTTTGTGCATGTGATTTTAGTTTCTAGAGGCAATGAATGGGGTGTGGACTGGATGGGAACATGAAAACATGTGTGAATTTCTTCAATCGTAGTAAATATTCTACATGTTAAATTACTGCTTAGCTTGTCTGAAAACATTAGAGAAAGGGAACCTGAGACAGTTGTTGCAAATGCCCAGGGTTAGGAGCTGGTTTGGCTCTTCAGGAAAGAAACAAGAAGTAGCTCAGAAGCAGGAGATGAGGAGTCACAAAATCTATAAACTTTTCTTTGCCTTGTCCTTTCAATTGACCCTCCATAGTTTGACAGGGATAAATAAATTGTCAAATACCCAGGAGCTTATTTAAATCCATAGCCTTGCCTGGCTCATGGCAAATAGGTTCTCTTTGCCTTCCTCAGGGGTTGCAGGAGCATTTTCAGGCTGATAGGTAGGAAAAGTGTGGTTATTTTCTGATTTTTCCTCCTACAACATGAAGTTGTTCCCGGGCAACACCACCTACCCATGTCTGCTTCCTGCAGCCCACCTTCATCCTCACACGAATTCACCACTGAGCTCTCTTCCTGAAATACACATAGAACCATTTTAAATTACCCTAAAAGTTTATCAGCCATCTCACACTCTGCTACCTAATGAAAGACAGAGGTCTTGCAGCTTCCTTCCAGAGGAACAAAGAAGTAGAGCCCAGAATGTGTACAGAGAAATGGACACAAAATATCTCTATATTTAAGTCCTCTTATATTTTCTCACAGCCATTACACATCCATAGTAGCATATTTATTTGTTGTACCAGTAAATGTTGATATAATATGTGCCAAATATTTTTTTTAATACAGGAACACAAATATATTCCTTGCTTTCCAGAGCAAAGAGGGTTGAATCATCCTCCGTGGATTCAGTCTCTTGCAGAGTAAGGAATTCCCACCAAGACTGCTGTATACTTGAGAGTAACTGCCTTTACAAAGACTGTTTAAACAAATAAATGAACAGAATACAAAATATTTGCTACAAGTTTCAATTCTCACAGACTGCAGATCCACCCCTCTGATTCAGAGTGGTGGAAAACCCCAGCAAGGCAGTTGTCAGACTGTTTCCCTCTTTCCAGGCTGCACTCACTAGGCTCCTTTTGTAACACCTCTACACAATTGCTTTTCAGATCTGAACAGTTGGAGGTGGGAAACTGGGCAGCAGAATGTTCTTACTTTTCCTGAGAGCTATTTTGCATTCCTTAGCAGAAAAAGAAGACAGTTTTTAATTTAACAATGACACTTTGCAGGCGATTAATCTACTTCAGGGATTACACCTCCTGAAATGCAAGCATTATTCACAGGTTCAAAAACACATGATAAAGAGTAACTTCAACAAATATATTTGCATTTATTACTGTTAAGTTGGATTCTTATTTAGGGTAAGTCACAATATGGCACAAAGTGGGGGTTTTGGGTCTGATCAGAGAGGATGACAGACATCAAATACATGACAGCACACAATTTCTTGGGGTAGCATTTCATACAGCAGCCTAGTGCTAGAGAAGGATTTATTCTTGTGCCAAAGCAAATCACCCATCAGGATGCTACAGCTCCTGTACACCTGCAGCTGCTGATTTAGTGCTCAGACTGCCTGAAATGGCTCATCCCTGCTACAGAGTGACACAGGAACGAGCAGGGCCAATCCATCAGTCAGTCTGGGCAGAAACTTCCCTCTGTTATCCCATCCTTTGTCCCAATCTTGCTTGCTGTCTTCCTTGGTGCTCTCCTGGCTACTTTTCCTAAGAGATCAGATCCCTGAGTCCAGGCAAGAATGTTTCTCTAGTGACCCAGGCTACATCAATCATTCCCCTGACACATTCCTACTCGACGGGATGAACTTCTGACTGTCAGGACTTTTGACTTTGACTGTCAGGACAGCTGGATTCTCTAATTCCTTCTGCCACTGTTTTCTGCAGTGAAAATCAGAGGTTTTCTGAGGAAAATCAGAGATCCTCTGTACCTTAGTTTCTCATTCTGTGATGGGGCTACAACTCCCCACCAACTGTTGTAATTGTGAAGATTACAACATTCGCCAGCCCACCTGAATGCTACTGGAAGGCTCAGAAAAAAGAAATGTGTGTTGATATCTGCACAATTCAGGCAGCTCGACCAAGCAGACCATGGCTCTGTGGGAACCACTGCCTTTAAACCTGGACATGCTGGGAAAAGCACCAGAAGGCATGAGGAACACAGCTATTAAACTTGGTTTGAATGCACCTGACGTGAGCTTGGCAGGCTCAGTTTAGCTGTTGGTGGTCTCAAATCAAGTGAAACAAGCAGAGTGTTCAGCACAGCAGTGCCCAAGTTAATGGACAGAGCAATAGGCAGCAACTCTCCTCCCCAGCCCCATGCAGCCCAGGATGAAAGGCAGCCCAGACCTCCCGCTGCCCCTGGACAAAAGAACCCCCCCAGCTGGGTAACTGGGTGCCTGCAGAGGCTCCAGTGGGGATGCTTTGAAGCTCACAAACAGGGCCTGCAGATTCCCCCTGCAAAAAGTCAGAGTTGCAGGAGCACAGAGCTCTGAGATGTGGCCAAAGCAGTGCTCACCACCTGAATCACTGCTGCACTTTGCTGTGCACAGGGTCCATTTTAATCCATGCAACAACACCCACATCTTATGCTCTCCACAAAGCATGGAGTAAAGATGCCAATAGGCACAATCAACCTTTCTACCAGGTAACACAAAGCCCAGCACTTTGCTTCTCCCCAGGAAACAGCCCAATTCGGAATTGTACATTCCTCAGTCCATCCCTTCAGACCTGTTTGCAGCAGCAAACCCCCAACCACAGTTACCTGTCCCACCAGGCTGCTGGCAGGATGAGACAGGGTTTATGCAGCGCTTTGAAGCACTACACAATTATTAAGCTTTAATTACTGTAATTTAGCCAGTTGCATTACTCCTCCAAGTTCAGAGAGCAGTTAGGGGTCTGTATTTATCCTGGCTTCAACACACAGCAGTGCTTTATGCCAGTGCAGAGCTCCCTCCAGGGAATGCTAATCCCCTCCCAGAGGCCAGCAATGCTCAGAAATCCACAGAACTTCAGTTCATCTTTCACCCCCTCGATAGTTTCCCTCCCATCCCCACTTCTTCAGCTGAAGGCTTTGGGGACTCAAACAGTGATCCAGTCTGGCAGGTGCACTGCCGGACAGATCCCACAGGGATGAGGAGGCTCAACAGCTACAGATCAAAGCCTACAGAAGCAACAGACAAATTTAAGCCATGAGGCAGAAGGGCAGCAAAGCAGGAGTCAGCAGCTAAAATCCTGTGTGGATCTTCCTATTGGTCCTGGGGTTAAAACTGCAGTTTAAAACAGTTTCTTTTGCCCGTCACCACCAAAAACAAGCTATTCTTTAACTAAAATCATCACCCTCTGTTTCATGTCCTGCCATAACCTCCTTCCCCCAAAACCTCAAAGCTCTTCATGCCCCATCACATCAGGCAGGATGCAGACTGGGGAGGGAGACAGGGAAAGCCATTTTGAAATTAAATGTTAAGGGAGATGAACTTACTTTGCAACATTTGCCTTGGTGGGGGATCCAGAGATCAGCCTGCTTGAAGAGCATCTGGGCTAAATTCCTGCTCTGCTTCCCCAGCAACTTGCACTGCTGCTGCTGCTGCTCTCCAAAAATGAGAGAGCAAAGAGGGAGAGGGAGCAAGACTGTGCAGAGCCCAGCGCTGCAGAGAATGAGGCAGAAGCAGCAGAGTGAAGCACCAGTGTGCTGATTAATTCAGCCTGTTTCCAGTCACGCTGCAGATCCAGCAAGGAGGCGGCAGATGGGGGTGGGGGATGAGGGAGGATGAGGGATGGAAAGAAGGGGAGAAAGAAGCAGAGAGGGAAGAAAGTTTGCCCAGGATAGCACCAGATGTCTGTGAGAATGGTTCATTCATCATACGGAGCCAACACAGTGAGGATCCCTGGGCTCACTGCCTGCAGAGCTGCATATGCATGCACAGGAAGGGATGATGCTGACAGACACGGGTCTGTGCAAAAGCAGATGGCAAATAAGGTAGGACAAAGTGCTATAAAATATGCTACAGGGGAAGGAATACCTGAATGGGCATGGAAAAAAACTAAATTGAGACCAAGAGACTCTGGAATATTAACTGCCCCACAGATGACTCCACAACTTTGGATTCAAGCTTAATTCAAAAATGTAAGTATTTGCTATTTAAATAAGTGGAGATGGTAACAGGTCCCATCTGAAGTGTTCCCTCCCTCTTCTCTTGCTGATAAAGAATGCAGCAAAAACCCCTCTCAGCATCCCATATTCATCCTGAGCCACAGGATCTGAACTAAAAGGTGCACATAAATTCACCACAGCCATGCCTGGGGGCTCCACATTTACCTGGGCACAGCACACGTGAGACAAAGGGTAAGTGTAGACTGGGGAGGGCTGTGTAGAACAACAACAAGGGGATAAAAAGATGAAGAAGGAAAGAGCCTTCTCTCTCATTCTCATATTTTGCAGGAATGTTTCCTTCTCACAGTTGGAGGGATGCACCTTTATAAGTGAGTTTTTATTTAGCACCTACTTCAGTGCTGTCCTAATTCTGTCTGGGGCTTCCTAGTTCTGCAGAGCAATCACTAAAACAACTGCTTTCATTTCACACAGAAAGGGGTAAAGAACTGGCCCAGCCAAGCACCACCTCAATAGCCTGCCAAGGATTACAGCTGCTGGTACCAAACAGGACAGGCACTGCCAAGGCTTCCAGTCCCAGCACACTGGGCAGCTCTGAAGACCATGTACAGGTGCCAGAACTCACCTACCATGCCTGGACAAGCTATTCACCTCCTTTCCTTTCCTTTCCTGAGGTTCAAATGCCTGATTAGGCACAGCCCATGTTCTGTGTTTTAAGCCAGAAGGGCAGAGATTAAGTGGCCTCAATATTCACAATAAACCAAACACAGGGCCTGATTATCACCTGTGTGTTGGCACCAAGTTACACATGGGTGTGTAATCTCACAAAGCTCCCAGAGCCAAAGCTGAAGGGAAGCACACTTTGTATTTATTTCATGTAACTTCAGGAGAAAGCAGAAGAGAGAAAGAGGCAAAACATCCTTTATCCTTCTGCAGGGCATTTTGTTTCCTAGACAACAAATTTTATACTGCAGAAAACAAGAAAATGTCCTAATGGCACAATTTTTCTTTCCTGCCTGCTAAGGGACTACTCATCTACTCCATTAAACACAAAAATACAAAGGAGAGAAAAAAGAAAAGATCAACAAGACTGGGTAAGAGTGGATAAACCCTCACACAACATACTTGTAAGATCCCCTCTTTATTACAGTGCTTGCTGATCTGTCTCCCATGGCTTTGAACCTTTTGGAGACTCGAATGAAAGTGAATAAAACAATTTGCTTGTGCAATACCAGGAACAATCCTTGTGCTTCATGCAGTTAGAGGTCCCAACCTCAAAACCTCCAGCTTTGGTCATGGACACAAGTGGAATTGGATCAAATTGCTTCTTCTTGTTTACCCCACTGCTGAGAGACCTTGCTCTAAAGTGTTTTGTGTAGGGCAGTAATCTGTAATATGTAGCCTCCTTCTATATATCAACTGGTATCAGAAATTGCATCTGGATGTGCATTTATACATTAAATAATAGAATGAAAGAGCAGAAGATAAAAACTTGGGATCTGAAGTTAAAACTGGGACTTGAAATAGAAGGTTGAGTATAAAGGCAGAGACTGACCTATACAAAACTGCAGCATAAATGAGAGATGCCTGTGGAAAAAGGATCAGCATGTGAAAAAGCCCTTGGAAGAAGAGCTGAGCTTTTACAGAACAGCAGGGAATAAAAACAGAGACACAGCCACTGGCAGGACGAGAAGTGGCAAAGGACTTGGGCTGCTTTTCAGTCCAAAGGTAGGACTGTAGCTCTTGTTAGGCAAGCTGGAAGCAGGAGCAGCAGTGCTGGAGCAGTGTGGAGCACAGCACAGCTCCCTGAACACGTTCCCAGGCCCTGGCCAGGAGGCACAGTGCTGTATCCAGGCTGCAGCAATTACACTGGGACAATACAGTCAGTTGTTATGGGTAACTGTGCAATGGATGATGTCAATAATTTTTATTAGTTGTGTGCCTGCAAATGCAGCCTGTCTAATGCAACACAAACTCAGGAGCCTCCCACTGTCCTGTGGCAATCAGTGCTGCTCTCTCAGTATGTGCTCTGTGGTCTTGGAGCAGAGATTCTGGCACCTTTCACAAGGATTGAATTCACTTCAGAAATACACAGAAAATTAAAAAGTCAGAGGAGGAGGAGAAAGAACAAGATATCAGCACATTTAATTTAAGAAGGTTTCGGCTCTGCTCCTAAAATACTCTCTGCATTTCTCTGTGCTGTCTGGCTTCTGGCAAAAACTGGAAGGCAGCCTGCATTACACCTGACAAATTCTGATCCTCAGCCATTCCTGACAAGGGAATTTATTAGCCAACTGGAGCCAGAGGACAAGTCTCTCATCTGAGTGACAGATGCCTGTGCTGCAGCAGTGCTCTGAGCACATCTCCTGCTCCACGAGTGCTAACTCTCCATCACACACATATATTGAAGAAATTGCTTTCAACCACATTTGGGACTGCTGTTTTCACGTGGTTTCATTTTATTTTTAGCATTTTAAAATAAATCTAGCACCTTGAATTTACTGCTGAGGTTACAAAGCAGGTTAATTTGTTTCCTTATCAGTGTATATGTGTCCAAGTTCTTCACTTTGGGAAGAAAGATGGATTCCACCTTAAATGGGGTGGAACCAGGATCTGCAGTATTAAAAAAAAAGAAAAAAAAAAGAAAGAAAGAAAGAAAGAAAGAAAGAAAGAAAGAAAAAAAAGAGCAAACTCCTTAGCACTAAATAATTAAGAATTATGGATTGAAAGGGACCTTAAAGATTATCTAGTTCCAGGCCCCCTCTTGGGGGTGCTAACAAGAATAAAATCATGGTCTGTCCTCAGAATCCAAAGTTATAAAATGCAGCTTTATGTATCTGTAGGGTTTTTTAATTCCTATTTAAAAGATTGTGGTGATCTCTTGCCTTCATTTTTAATTCCCATTCAGAAAGGAGGGAGAAAAAATTTCAGGAAGTCAGGAGAGGAGATTAGGACTTGAGAACACCATGATTCCCCCTGTAACCTCCTTGTCAGGACACTTTCCTAATAGGCCTTTTAAAGGTCTATTACAATACTGAGCATGCTGCCTGTCCAGCAATTTGATATGATCTTCCTGCACTGTACAGTGGAGAATGTCATATGAGAAAGGTGAGCCAAAGATAGTGACCTACAGTGAAAACGTCCCTGCCATGCCCTGCTCTCTTTGGTGCTCTCAGATCCTATACACAACACACCCCTCAACACAGTGCTAATTGCAGCATCTCTTAAAATGATCAATACCAGATTAGCCCATGATGTTATTAACAAGAGAACAAGTAGATAACTGTCTTCATTGGAATGTTAACTCCATGGTAATAAATCAATTTGATATAAAACAACACAGGTCAAACACATCCTCTGAGCACCCCAGAACCAAGAGGTTCAGGCAGGAGAGAGCCCAAGCCTTCCTGGTCTAGCACAGCTCAGAACAGAAACCCAGCAAAGCAGTGTTTGAGTAGGCAAGTGCCACAGCCAAGGTGAAGAACTGACCTTTAAAAGTCACTTACACTGCTTTGTATGTTCAGTCTAGGTGAGACCCTAACAGGTACTTTGCACTAATGAACAAAACCATTCCTCACTGCTGCATGGAGAAAACAGACACAGCCAACAGACAAAAGCTCATGGTGTGGTGGGGAAAGGGACACCAGGGAGAAAAGCAAAGAATGTTCTCTCACCAGAGCTGGCTGAGACCCCAAGTTACCATCAGCAAATCTGGACTCAGATGATTTCATTGCCCTGGTTTATTTTAAAAAATCTTTCCACAAATTCAGCCTTTCAAGTGAAGCCAAATTGAGTGTCCATGGGAATGGAGCCCCAGCTTAGAGCTCAAAGGAGAGACACTGCAGGTGTGACAGAGAACACCTCACCTTATTCCCACCCTGCAAAGATTTCCCTGCTGACAGGGATGTGAAGGTGACACAACTCTCAACTTCAATTCTAACCATGGGTTATACCACTACAAAATAATGCCACTGGTGAATCTTGACCCAAAATAATAAAGAATATAAATCGACTTAACACTTAAGTTGGGTGTGACTGTTATCAGCAAACCTACCTGACACTTCTCCTTGAGGTCCATGGCTGTGCAGTTCTGTAAGCATGTCCAGTAAAAGGGGACTGCTCCTCAGGGGAGAATATCTCCTAGGTAGAGAAGAGCTTGGCTACATTTACCACATCACCATCTGCAGAAACAGAAGGGGAAGCAATCAAGTCTCCCACATTGCTTCCTTCAGGATAAGAAAGTGATGAAATTCACAAAATTCAAATTACAGCATTGGTCTTTAAAAGGAGACTAGGGAGATGACAGTGCATAACAGTGCATAACCCACCCTGTAACTCAGAAGTTAAGTTAGCTTAACTCTCCCCAGAATCTGGCATCCATAGATGATTTAAGTTCCCTGCAGTGCCGAGTAAGCGTATGATAGTAGTCCTGACAGGCTTTTGGGCAAGCCTCCAAAAAAAGGCTGACAAAGCCTGGATTCCACCAGGTGTTGGAGCAAGCTGTCAACCACAGCTATTTGTCTTGTTACTCTTATCTACCAGGAGCTTTGTCCAGCTAATCTCTAATGGAGGCAGCAATAATAATTCTTCCCTTTGAACATCACATCCAACCTTTGACAAGGTGTGCTGCTGGGCTGAGCATGGATCTGATCACCATAAGTAGGTCAGAACTCCTAGAAACATTTCCAGATGACAGTGGAACTAGGCCTTTTCTCTTTTCAGCCCAAGTGGGACTCTAACTGAATTGAGATAGGAAGCAGCTCTGAACTCACATCCTTCTTCTAGTTCACCTTCCTCTACTTCCCATAGAACAAATTTGTTCTCCTTACATAAAATGTCTTTTCTGGTTGAAAAAAAGGATCTGTGTACATTGCTCTATTGACTCTCTTACATATAAACACAACACGATACTGTAAGATTATGCTATGATTATCTTGGGAAAGTCTTTTCTGTTGGTTAATAACTCCTGGTTGAGCACAGAAGCTCAGGGCTTAGACATATCCTTCTCCTAAATCCAAATAAACAAGGAAGCAGCTAGATATGCAAATCAATCCAAATCGCCCACATACCTCCTGGATACAACAGGACTGGCCTTTGCCACCTGGGATTTACGACCCTGGATTATACAACACTGCCTTCTTCAAAGAGGGATTCTGGAGATCCCATCCCTGTGGCAGTCACCTGCAGCACAGCTCTGATAATGCTGCATAATTTCAAGGAAAACAAAAGGCATCCAAAAGCT